TCATTCTTAGAAGTTATAAATTGTGTCCTACTAAAACACACATACCTATATTTGTCAAATAATTGAAATGCTAGTCTGATACCTCTGTTTTGAACTAGATATTCAGCCGATATTTTTTCTTTTCTTTTCTTTCTGTCTTTTGGTTTGCTCTTTTGAAGCAAAATTCTCCATAGCTCAGGCTAGACCAAGCTCATGTCAGTCTCCATGGTGCTGATTAAGCATATGCTGCCATACGCAGTTGAGCATACAATACTAAACAAATAGACAACATGATACTTAGTTTACAGAGGATTTACTGAAATAATGTTTAATGCTATAAGTTTAAGGCCTAACACAATAGTGCTGTTCATATTATATTCTTATGTTCTAGTCATAGGCTAAGCAATTTAGTATAAATTACTGTTGTGCTTCATATATTGTCTGACACCCCATAAACATTTGATTAATCAATTTAACTTGTTATATATTAGAAAACTTGTACTTTTAAAATGCAAAACTAAAATGTTACTCTGTTTTCCAGTTAAATTAATGATCTGATCTATTTGATCCTCACACCTAATAACATGGTTGATGTTGATATTTTCTCACAGACTGACATATAAAAGTCAACAGAGCCTTGCCACGTGTGTGAAGTGGCAATTTAACCATGAAATAAACAGTTTTTATTGCCATTGCCCTGTGGACATGTTCTTTCTGGCAGTGCTGTCCATATTTGGTGGCTGTGCATGGAGAGCCAGGTGGTGCTGAAAAGCATCGTACACTGAAGCGTGGACATATCTAGGTTTGACATTTGTCATCCCTTTCTGCTGAAGGGAAGGAGAAAATCTGTTTTTCCATATGTTTATGCTTTTTTTTTTTTTGCCTGCAGTTTTGTCCAGATGGTCTTATGAACATTGTTTACTTTGGGATGTTATCCCAGATGTTTTAAAAAACTAATGGGTAAACATGGTACATACATATATAAATTATTGTATGCTATGATTTCTAAATTTTTTTAAGATTAAAAGATAATTTATTTCTGAGACTATTTTTATTTTTTCCTTGCTCTTTTTTTTATTATTTATTTTTTTATAAGTGAGTGTTTATACTTACATATATTAAATATTAAATATTCTGTAACTTTTTTTCTTGCAACTGTTCATTTTTCAGATTAAAAGCTAAAACTTTTTCCACATTATTTTTTTTACATTCTTAAAACTTTCTTTTAACATTACCAAGAATGTTTTGAGTCATTTGTCAGGGTTTCATATACTCAAATCTATAAGAATCTGCCCTTTTATAATTATTCTCATTCAAAATAAATTATTCATGAGAATATAGGTAGCAAAATGACAGTGGATTTATAATTATAATTTTATTATGGTCTTGAGAAATACTAATTAACCTTTCTGAACTTAAGTTTTGTAAATGTAAAAATCACTTAACTGCTTTGCTTAAAAAGGTAGAGTTGGCTGGGAATGTGGCTCAGTGGTAGAATGCTTGCCTTGCATGCATGAAGCCCTGGATTCGATTCCTCAGTACCACATACACAGAAAAAGCTGGAAGTGACGCTTTAACTCAAGTGGTAGAGTGCTAGCTTTGTGTAAAAAAACACCTCAGGGACAGGGCCCAGGCCCAGGACTGGCAAAAAAAAGAAAAAAAAAATGGAGTAGTACTTTGAATTACTCTTTTATCTTGAATATCTTAAAAGTTACTATGAAAACATCTATTATCAACAGATAGAATGAGAGTCTGAAACTTACTTGTTCTAGGTTCTAGTTGGGCTAAGAGGCAAATTGTTCTGTCTGCAAACCCAGACAGGAGCCATGTCAGAATCCCAAGTTAATGCAGAGAAGAGCTAGCAAGACAGGAGTCTGGAGTTGAGAGTTAAATATAACTCTTTAATGTCTGGACATCAGTTACCAGTAATAAATACTTTTTAAAAAAGCAAACCAGAAGCTGGGTGCTAGTGAAACATGCCTATAATCCTAGCTACTCAAGAGTCTGAGAGCTGAGGATTGCAGTTTGAAGCCAGACTGGGCAGGGCAGGAAAGTCATCTCCAATAAATTACCGAAAAAAAGTGGAGCTGTGGCTTAAGTGGTACAGCTAGCCTTGAGCAAAAAAGAAGCTCAAGAACAGAGCCTAGGCCCTGTTTGTGTGTGTGTGTGTGTGTGTGTGTGTATACGTGTGTGCAACAGGAAAGAAGGGAAATTTCACCTTATTAAAAGATGCTGCAGCATCACTTAAAAGTTATTAGAACTGGGCCTGGGAAGATGGCTCAGTGGTAGAGCGCTTGCCTTGCATGCTCGAGGCCCTGGGTTCGATTCCTCAGCACCACATAAGCAAAAAGAAAAAAGCTGGAAGTGGCGCTGTGGCTCAAGTGGTAGAGCACTAGCCTTGAGCTGCAGAGCTGAGGGACAGCGCCTAGGCCCAGAGTTCAGGCCCCATGACTGGACCAAAAAAAAAAAAAGTTATTAGGACTTGGAAGAAAAATCTTTTTCAAGATATAGATTTGCATAACAAAATGCTGAAACAAGGATAGAGGTTGACCCACTGTAACAATGCGACATACAAGACACTGTGTTGAAAACAAGCTTTACAACTTGGGACGGGGTGGGGAGGGAGGAGTTGGGGAGGTGGGAAGGGAAGGGATAGTTGGGCAGAAACAAAGGAGTGGGTAACAATTCTCAAGAGGAAATGTACTCATTACTTTGCCCATGTAATTGTAACCCCTCTGTATGGTATTTTCACAATTAAAAAAAAAGAAAAAATGTACTCATTACCTTACTCATGTAACTATAACCCCTCTGCGCAGTATCTTTATGATTAAAAAATTGCAAAAAATAGATGTAAGTAATGAAGGAAACAGAAACCTCCAGCTCATTTTTCTCAGTGAAATAAGATGTTTCCGCATTTTATTTTATTTTATTTTATTTTATTTATTTATTTATTTTTTGGGTCCGGTGTGGGGCCTGAACTCTGGGCTTGGGCACTGTCCCTCAGCTGTTCAGCTCAAGGCTAGCACTCTACCACTTGAACCACAGCACCACTTCCGGCTTTTTTCTTTTTGCTTATGTGGTGCTAAGAAATCAAACCCAGGACCTCATGCATGCAAGGCAAGTACTCTACCACTGAGCCACTTTCCCAGCCCCTGTTTCCACATTTTAAAAGAAAAACCCAGCTGAGGTGGGTATAGCTCAGTGGTAAAACAGTTGCCTAGCATGTGTGAGACTTTTGAGTTCAGTCTCCAGTCCCATAAAGAAAAAAAAAAAAAATGGAAGGAATGAAGGAAGTGGGAAGGAAGGGAAGAAGGAGGGAGGGATGGGAAAAAAGGCTGAGACATGAAAACTACAAATCAGTATGAAAGGCAAACTAATCAGAAAAAAAATGCCCAGAATGTACAAGAATAAACAGAAGAAAAAATATGAGAGCAGACAAGGTGATGTATTACTAAAGATGGCTCATGAATTTTGGCACAAATATCTCTTTTGATGGGGCTATCAGAGCTGTTTTTTCAAACATTTAAATGATGCTTCCTATGCTTTGTACTCTCAATTTTTAGCCTATTTAATCTTTATGAAACCTCAGAGAAAGCCTATTATTTCCATTTGAATGATAATGGGGCCTAATGTGTATGTGGGGAGGGGGGAGGCCCCTTCCTCCTTGCAAAAGCCACAGGTACTGGGTCAGACCACTTTGAAGCAACAGAATAGGTAAGACATTAGTCTGGCTCCATTGGAAACCAGAACTATGTATGTATGTATGTGTGTATGTATGTATGTATGTCAGTGCTGGGGCTTCAACTTAAGTCCTGGGCACTGTCCCTTAATATTTTTGCTCAAGTCTGGCTGTCACTCTACCACTTGAGCAACAGCTTCACTTCTGACTTTTTGGTGGTTAATTTGGAGATAACAGTTTCACAGACTTTCCTACCTGGGCTGGCTTCAAACTGTGATCATCAGATCTCAGCCTCCTGAGTAGCTAGGAGTGTGAGCTGCTGGTACCTGGCATTTTTAAGCTTTTAACTTTGATAACAGAAAAGCTCACAAGAAAGAGTAATATAACAAAATCTTGACTCATTATTTCTTCTGCTTATTAGTTTTCCTTCTCTTATAAGGAACTCTTCCCATTCCCTTTTTCTTCATTTAAAAAATCCATCTTTACAGTAACAATAAAAAATAATCTCTGATCATTTCTGTCTCCTTATATGAGTAATCTATTACTCTGTCCTTATTTATTGTGATGGCCAAATTAGTGCTTGTGTATTTTGAGCTCCTTCTACCACTTCATTATTGCCTGATACAGCACAAAATGGTATAGGTTTCTTTTTCTTTTTCTTTTTTAAATTTTGTTGACAAGGTGATTTACAGAGGGTGATTTATATACGTAAGGTAATGAGTACTAAGTTGCTTTTTCATCTTTGCTTCTCTAGGCTTAGAATCAGCCTTTGCTTTAAGGAATCCTGATCTTCATAGGAAATGCTATTTAGAAGCTAGGTCTTTCCTACTTGTTTTTCAATTATTTTCCTTTATAATTAACTAGAATTTACCTAGAATATTATGTGACATATAGCTCTTTTATACTTAAATGAGTTTATATTAGCTGTAATAGCAATAAAATATATAACCAAAGACATTTGCATTGTTTTTTGGGTTTTTTTTTTTTGTCAGTTGTGAGGCTTGAACTGTGGGCTTGGGTGCTGTCCCTCAGCTCTTCAGCTCAAGGCGAGCACTTTACCACTTGAGCCATAGCACCACTTTTTTCTAGTGGTTCATTGGAGATAAGAGTCTCACGGACTTTCCTGCCTGGGCTGGATTTGAACTTCAGTCCTCAGATCCAGCCTCCTGAGTAGCTAGAATTACAGGCATGAGCCACTGGCTCCGGGCTTGCATTGTATTTTTGTCTTTGAGGAACACTCATTCGAAGAGACAATCTTACTTACTTTTAAATAATATATTTAAATTATCAAATGACGTTTAATTTCATATCTCATGTCAGTGACATTTTCTTTAACTTGTAGATGCATTTGCTCGAATCCTAAAGCTTTGTGAAGAAAAATATGAAACGGGAGAAATAAAGAAGGGAAGGCAAGCCATCAGTGTGTCCTCAGTGAAAGGAATTACAAACTTAGGGAATACCTGCTTTTTTAATGCAGTCATCCAGGTAAAAGTCATCAAAAAGCTTTATAAAAGATAAATAATCACCTAATTAATTTATATGGGTATACATGGCATACATGCGGACCACCATATGATTCCTGGATATTTGTTCTTTTAGTGTTCTTTTCCTGTTTTCTTTTTAGTTTCTTTGGCCATTATCAAACATATATTCCTTTGCTTCATGCTGTGCTTCCGAAAGGTCCTCTATTTTAACATCACTGGTAGTGATTTTAGCCTGTGTACTTAATTATATTAATTAAATTAATTAAAATTTAAATGTTTTAAATGCTTTTTTTTGGGCTAGGCTAGATGAAATTCTGTCAGAGTATTAGCTTCCTAAGATAGAGGCACAAGATAAGCGAATCTGAATTTTATGTTACTTTTGTTTAGAACTTGGCACAAACTTACATACTTATTGACACGATGAATGAGATTAGAGAAGATGGCACAAAATTGAAAATTGCTCTCTCTCCAGATTCCCAGATGGTGAGTAAATAGACCTCTCTGGATAATACTTGTTTTCAGATGAACTACCAATATCACCAAAGTCAACTTTTCTGTTTTTCAGATTTGTAAACTGGGAAGGTAGTTCCAGAGCTTTAAATAAATAATTGAAAAGAAATACAACATGAAATCTGTTGAAATTGTTTGGGGAAGGGGGGAGGGACAGTGATAGGATGAGACGGATCTGAATATATTGTAAACAGGTGTGGAGATGTATAACGTGTGTATAATGTCAGATAGTCAAAATAATTCAAAATCACTTTTTTAAAGTAAATAATCAGTTAGTTTCCAAAATTTCTTCATGGTACGGTTCAAATATATCATTGAACCAGTAATTCAAAGATTGAGACAGCCTTTAAACAAAATTACACTGGAAAAAATGAAAACATCTCTGCTTTGTTGAGCAAAATGGATGGATTAATATTTTGTACTTACTGGTGACATTTACTTAAATTCAGTACTTTTGTTCTTAGATTTAAATAGTGAGCATCTGGAGTTTTTTTCAATTGATTGATTGATTGATGTGTGTATGTATGTATGTATGCAAGTATGTCAGTCCTTGGGCTTGAGCTCTGGGCCTGGGCACTGTCCTTGAGCTCTTTTGCTCAAGGCTAAGCACTCTTCCACTTGCTCCACAGCACCACTTCCGGCTTTTTTTGTGTATGTAGTATTGAGGAATCGAACCCAGGGCTTCATGCATGCAAGGCAAGCACTCTACCACTAAGCCACATTCTTAGCCCTGGAGTTCTTTGAAGTCTAATCTTGTAATGGATTTTTAGTGGGAAAGAAAGAAAACAGAAACAAGAAACAAGAGCCAACCATTGACATTGAGAGCTGGCCTTCCACTCCTACTCAATCCCACCCAGGTAGACGACGGTCAAATCCTCTCAGAGGGAAGTGGACACAGATTAGCTCTCCCTGAGTTTGCACTAAACTAAGGGTATATTGCATAATATCTCAACACAGACAAAAACAGAGTTACTGCCATTTAGAAAAATCTCAATATCCTTTCTCTTGGTCAACATGAGAAGTGAATAGCTACATGAGAAGTGAAGAATATGCTCTCATTGGCATACCTAATTACATGTGATGATACCATGCTGATGACATCCTGTAGAACGACTCTACACTTCTTATGATCAAAATCCAAATCCTATGTAGGTTCTTGTATAACACCATCTCACTGAGACTAAGATGGGTTCTATCTCACTGCACCAAGTAATCAATTGACTTTATCTGCTCTGGGGGTGTTCTGATGGACTGGTGAACATTGACACAGGTAGTTATGGTTTTATTTAGAAATGGAGAACCAACATAGGGGTGTGTCTCGTTCCTGGCAAGCAGGAGGGAAGTTGGCAAGACAAGACACCCATCTGGGGGGGAAAAAAGGAAAGAAAGGAGGGAGAAAGCAAGGAAAGAAAAAAGAAAGGAGAAGAGAGGGGAAATCCTCTTAATGTATTCTCTAATATATTCTCTGGCATTCTCTAGTATGTGTATAGTTTATGATCTGTACATAGAACTCTTCCAAAAGAAGAGTTTATGATCTGTATTTATGATCAGTATATAGTTTATGATCTGCATTTTCATAACAATTAAAAATAGCTGTAAAGATACTTAGCCCATTGTGGTGATCTAGGTTGTTCATACTAGTATACTGGCAGCTTTGGAAGACAAAGGCATTGGGCACTACTGGCTCCTGCCTGCAATCCCAGTTACTCAGGAAGCAGAGATCTAAGGCTCTCCATTAAAGCTCCTGCTGCCAGAATCTTATCTCCAGAAGGGAGGTGTGGCTCAAATGGTAGAGGACTACCCATGAGGGAAAAATTCAGCTAAACAAGTATTGGAAGCCCTGAGTTCAAGCCCTAGTAGTGGGACAAAAGGAAGGGAGGGAGGAAGAGAGGAAGAAGGGAAGGAGAAGGGAAAGAAGAAAAGAGAAAGGGAAAAGAGAGAAGAAGAAAGACAGAAGGAAAAGGTTTGAAAAGGTTTCTAAACCAAAATTTGGTAGGGAAAAAAATCAAAAATAGATAAATTTATCACAATTTTAGCTACTCTTGCCAGGCTTTATATTTCTCTCCATTAAAAGAGGAAGTAGCAGCCGGGCAGCAGTAGCTCACACCTATAATCCTAGCTACTCGGGAGGCTGAGATCTGAGGATCATGGTTCACAGCCAGCCCGGGCAGGAGAGACCGTGAGACTCTTATCTCCAATTAACCACCAGAAAACCAGAAGTGGCTCTGTGGCTCAAGTGGTAGAGCGCTCACCTCTAGCTGAAGAACTGAGGAACAGCACCCAGGCCCAGAGTTCAAGCCCCACAACTCCACCCCACACACACACAAAAGTACCAATTTTTTCACACATAATTATCCATGCATTCTTTTATTACTAAAATATTTGAAGAAAAGAATGACATGGAGTTTTACTGGTATATGTAACATGATTATTTGTGAAGATGAACAAATATCAAGTAGGTTGGTAATTTTCCTTGTAGGAAAATGCAGGACAGCACATTAAGGGAAAGTTAGAAGCCAATAAAGACTGGTAATTTCACTCAGTCTGGTTTTATTAAGTAAAGCGCAGAGAATAACAAGGCACTAAATCCGGTTTTGTTTTTTAGATACTCAAATTTAAAGGAAGAGTTTCTTAATATTCTTTTGGGCAGTTAGTTATTACCATTTAAAGAAAGTATAGTTCTTAAATTCTTAACAGTGTTTTAAAATATATGGAAAGAGGAACGATGGGTGAATGTAGTCATAATATTTAATGCACATATTTAATGTGTATATGAAAATGGAGCCAGATAACGTGAGGGAATGAGAGGGTGTTGGGAGAGATGAGGGAGAATGATAGAAGGGTGACATTGATCAAGGTATTCATAAAATAACACGTTATATTGAAACCCCTGTGTACCACTACTTAAAAATAATTTTTAAAAATAAGAAGTTTTATATTCCTGACATAAAGTTGATTATGTTTTTAAAGGACCCCTTAGTGGTGGAACTTGCGAGCCCTGGACCACTGACCTCAGCCTTGTTCCTGTTTCTTCACAGCATGAAGGAGTCAGAAAAAGGACCACTTTCTCCTAAAGTTCTTTTTAACCAGCTTTGTCAGAAGTGAGTGCACCTGTAGTCTGAACACAAATAATCACATTACAAAAGATGAATGTATTCATCACTTAACTTGAGATGTTTTAGTCCTACTTTTACGTTGTTGTTACTGCCCAGACTATAGAAGGAAAGTGTGTGCTTCATGCAGATTATGTCATAATCCTTAAGAAGTGATCATTCCTATAATAAGGATTTGAGAGCTCACAGAGATGAAATAGCTCAACAAGTACTTTAATGGTAGAGCTGAGAATCATATAGAAGTCTGTTTTAACTCAAGTCTCTGATGTAGTACTGTAAAGGAAGAAAATTAGGGGCTGGGAAGTTGGTTCAGTGGTAGAGTGCTTGCCCCACATGCATGAGACCCTGTGGCTCAAGTGGTAGGCTGCTAGCCTTGACATGAAGAGCTGAGGGATAGAGCCCAGGCCCACAGTTCAGCCCCTGTGACCACCAAAAACAAAAGGAAGAAAATTAAAGAATTGTAAACTGCACAAAAAAGTATAAAGATATAAGGTGATCTAGATTCCTTTTTTGAAATTATTTTATTTGGTTTTTGGTGCTGAGTATCTAACCCAGGGTCTGTGCCTACGGAGCAAGCACAATGCCACTGGGTCACATTCTCAGCCCTCTACTTCCTTATTTTTAAAGATGAGCTTTGAGGCAAATAGTTTTAAGGTACTACTGTATGCTTTAAGCAAAATCCTCATGTGTCTAGACATCAACACATACCAAAACAGGCATGATTTTTAATTTTTAATGTTTTTCAGATTATTTTTGCATATATCTTACATATGAGATCTCTTGAAGAGGATCCAAGTCGCTACACAAAATTCATTTTTTTCAAGTATAAATGTAATTCATGTTTATTAGGATTTCCTTAATGTTGTGCATTTAAAATGAAATACGGCCACGTGCCAGCGGCTCAAGCCTGTAATCCTAGCTACTCACGTGATCTGAGGATCACGGTTCACAGCCAGCCTAGGCAGGAAAGTCCGTAAGATTCTTACCTCTGATAAACCACCAGAAAACCAGAAGTGGTACTGTGGCTCAAGTGGTAGAGCACTAGCCTTGAACTGATGAGCTGAGGGACAGCGCCCAGGCCCAGAGTTCAAGCCCCTAGACCGACAAGCTTTTTTTTTTTTTGTCAGTCTTGGGGCTTGAACTCTAGATGTAGGCACTGTCCTTTAGCTCATCAGTTCAAGGCTAGTGCTCTACCACTTTAGCCATGGCACCACTTCTGGCTTTTTCTGTGTATGTGGTGCTGAGGAATTAAACTCAGGGCCTCAAGCATATGAGGCAAGCACTCTACCACTGAGCCACCTTCCCAGCCCAAGAAATACATTTTGAATGGAGTCTCGGTAAATTGTTATGCCTGAGTTGACCTTATTTTTTTATTTTTTATTTTTGCCAGTACTGGAGCTTGATATGCATGCTGGGCAAGCACTCTACCACTAAGCCACATTCTTAGTCCCCACTTTTTATTTTTCAAGGCAGAAAGATAAAGCTGAGGGCAGTAGCTCATGCCTATAATCCTAGCTACTCTGGATGGTAATATCTGAAGGTCAGCCCAGGCAAGATTCAAAGCCAGTTCTGTCAAGAAAATTCCTGAGATTCTTATCTTCAATTAACTACTAAAAAGCAGAAGTGTCGCTGTGGCTCCAGAGGTAGAGCGCCAGCCTCCAGTGAAAAAGCTGAGGGACAGCATTGGGCCCTGAGTTCAAACCCCATACCAAAAAATAAAAAAAGACGATAAATGTGGCCTTATCAAACCCACAGTGGCTTGGATTTGAGTATTTTTTTGTTATTGTTGTTTAAGTTTTTTGTTTTTTTGGTTTTTTTTGGTTCGGTCCTGGGGCCTGACCTCTGGGCCTGGGGGCTGTCCCTCAGCTCTTCAGCTCAAGGCTAGCGCTCTACCACTTGAGCCACAGTACCACTTCCAGCATTTTTCTTTTTGCTTATGTGGTGCTAAGGAATGGAATCCAGGGCCTCATGCATGCAAGGCAAGCACTCTACCACTGAGCCCCTTCCCAGCCCCTTGTTTAAGTTTTTTTTTGCTAACTATATGACTGCAAATTATTTAAATAACCCTTCTGAGTCCTCAAGTATAAGCTACAGAAGATAGCACATCTCAGTAAAATTGTTTGGCATTAGATGACTTAAACTATGTGAAACTACTGTTCTTTACTTGACATAGAGTCATTGCTTAATAAATGGTAGCTGTTTTGTTCCCAGTGCAAACTTAAGATCTAAGAATCACATCTTTCTATTAGGTTGAGAAGGAAATAGATGCAATCATTGACTTATTTTACAGTGATTTTGAATAAGAATAACAGAGTGATACTCTTAACCTGATACAAATTCGGAAGAAGTATTAAGTGCTATGCATTGACACTTGTTTTTAAATGTTAACTGGCACTCTGTATATTGGTGTAAAACAATGTTCACTTGCTCAGATTTTCAGTTCGTACTGCCTAGTATGTCTGCCAGGAGCCAGTTTTTGTGTATTGTTAACAGTTTCAGGTTATTTATATTTGATGTTCTGTAAAACTCAAATAACAACTATTCTGTACTTATGGACCAAATAAATGGTATCTGCATACTTGTTAAAAAAAAAAAAAGAATAACAGAGTGAGAGTTGATTATTGTTTACTTTCCTGGTTTGTTTTTTATGACAGGGCACCCCGATTTAAAGGTTTCCAACAGCAGGATAGTCAGGAGCTTCTTCATTATTTGCTGGATGCAGTGAGGACAGAAGAAACAAAGGTAATGTTACTTAATGCTCTTAACACATGTAGGACAAGAAGACTTAGGGCTGGGAAGGTGGCTCAGTGGTAGAGCACTTGCCTTACATGCATGAAGCCCTGGGTTCAATTTCTCAGTATCATATAAGCAGAAAAATAAAGCCGGAAGTGGCGCTGTGGCTCAAGCGGTAGAGCGCTAGCCTTGAGCTGAAGAGCTGAGGGACAGCGCCCAGGCCCAGAGTTCAGGTCCACAACCAGAACCTCCTCCCCCCCCCCAAAAAAAAAAAGATTGGGAGACTTAATTCTTACTGTCACCTGAAAATACAGTATGAAGTCATTTGAATTTTTTGGTATTCTGTTTTTCTTTTTCTGTAAGGGTATTTTCTTTTATACTTTTAGAGATAATTTATCAATTATTAATGCCTTTTGGCTACAAAAAATTCAACTAACTTAAATAAAGAGTAGATAATTTATTTTTTATTTTTTTGCCAGTCTTAGGACTTGAAATCTGGGCCTGGGCACTGTCCCTGAGCTTATTTTGCTCAAGGCTAGCACTCTACCACTTGAGCCACAGCTCCATTTCCGGCTTTTTCTGTGTATGTGGTACTGAGGAATCGAACCCAGGGCTTCATGCACTCAAGGCAAGCACTCTACCACTGAGCTACCTTCCCAGTCCAAAAGTAGATATTTTAATTGGGCACTGTGGTGGTGTAAGTCTGTAGTTCCATATATTCAGGAAGATTCCTTGAGCACCGAGTCCAAGTTTGTATAGAAATATTCCTCTTAAAACAAAACAAAATTGAGCCAGGCAATGGTGGCTTATGCCTGTAATCCTAGCTGCTAAGAAGGCTGAGATCTGAGAATAATGGTTCAAAGCCAGCCAGGGCAAGAAAGTCCATGAGACTCTCATCTCCAGTAAACCACCAGAAAACTGGAAGTGGCCCTGTGGCTCAAGTGGTAGAGCGCTAGCCTTGAACTGAAGAGCTGAAGGACAGTGCCCAGGCCCGAAGTTCAGGCTCGGAGTTCAAGCCCCACGACCGACTCCCCCCAAAAAAATTGAGGCCAAAGAAAATTATAGGGATATAGACACAGTGACACAGGAACGGTATCAAGAATCTGAAGGTATTTTTCCTGTAGGTTTTTTCATTTATATAATCACCATAACGTGCATACTACAGTTCCATGTATTTAAAAGTTCAACTGGCTGCTTGTGATTCCCAGTTCTAAACTCCCAGTCTCCTGTGCTGGGCTAAGTAAGATTCATTCAAGATCAGGTTGGGAGTGTAGTCTCAGCCTTGTGAATCAGTAAAATTCAGTTTCTTGAGGAGGAAGTACTACGCAGATAGGATATAATTTATTAGAAAAAGTATAAGCATTACAGATGTCAAATACAGAACACATGTTCTGCATTTCTGTGATTTGTATGTGCCCCCCAAAAGTTCATATATTAGAATTGTAATCACTAATGACATGTGCTAGTGGTAATTGGAAGTGGGGCCTTTAAAAGGTAGTTTGGATTAGATAGGGTCCTGAGGGTCCTGAGGGTAAAGCCCCATAACTGCACTGGTGGTTTAACAAGAAATGGAAGAGGCACTCAAGCCAGCATGCTTGTATTTGTCTGGCCATGTGATACCTTCTGCTACATAGTAATTCCCTCAGAAGGGCCTTGGCCAGATGCTAAACATTGAGTCCATAGCCATGGTCCTAAGTAAATTTTCTTTATGAATTTACTGGGTTCTTGTACTTTGTTACAGTAATGGAAAATAGAGTAAGACATTCATTTGTCCCTTTTTGCTCACAGAAGACACTGGTGAGTCTTCATTCAGCTTCAGAATTGTTCTCTGTATACCACTGTGGACCACTCTGACAATTTAAATTAGGATAAAAAAAATGAAAATCTGTTTTCCATTCCAGCAAATGTACTACTTAATATAGTTGGTAATGTGTGATTTTAAAAAAGCTAAATATAAGCCAGGTGCTGGTGGCTCATTCCTGTAATCCTAGCTACTCAAGAGGCTGAAATCTGAGTATCATAGTTCAAAGCCAGCACTGACAGGAATGTCTATGAGACTCTTTATCTCCAATGGACTACAGTGCCTAGGCCCAGAGTTCAAGCCCCATGACCGACAGAAACAAACAAGTGAAGATGGGCTGGGAATGTGGCTTGCCTAGCATGAATGAAGCCCTGGGTTTGATTCTCAGTACCACATAAACAAAAAAATCCAGAAGTGGCACTATGGCTCAAATGGCAGAACACTAGCCTTGAGTGAAAAAGCTCAGGGACAGAGCCCAGGCCCTGAGTTCAAGCTTCCCGACGGGCTAAAAAAACAAAAAGCCAAATATAAATGAAATGTTTACATGTCTGTTTTACATATTATTAGACATTGTAGACTTTAGGCTGTGTGCTTTTTTTTCTTTCTATTTTAATGCATTATATATTATTTTATCTTTCTTCTGAGTCTAGGAATTAAGTCTAGAGCCTCACAAGTTTTAGGCTACCACTGGGTTATACTCTTGTGCCCTTCTCTTCTGCCTTTTAAGGTCTACTTTGTTTGAATTGTAGCACAATTACTAATGGCCAGCTTTCTGTGGATAGTTATGGTTCTAGCATTTTATTACAATTATCTTAAAAATTAAAAAATGAATTAATCTCTCCCTTCTGTTACAAAGTACAATTTTCTAATTATTGCTGTTTGACCTTCATGTTAAATATTGAATTCAGCTTCTCAAAGTGCTCCTCCCTTTTCGAGGTCTCACTCTATATAGACTTTGATTATGTAGCTATGACCTTCTCTGTAGAAGGTGTCATTGTCTGTCACCTCTCTTATGCTGTCCTTGAAAGATGTTGCTGTGTATTTTCCATCCCATGGGCCTGTCATAGTGCTCTGTGAATGTTTGTTGAATGAGTTATCTGTGCTTTAACTTCATTGCATCCTCTTCTGAGAATTTGAATTGGGATGATAACAAGTAATAATCCTGGAAATAAGTTATTTCTAGCTAGCTTTCTCAGGGATTTTTAATTTCTGGGAAATGTTGTAATTGGAGTAAAGTGATAATTCGACAGGATAGTAACTATTATGCTTTGCCTATATTTTGTTCTTAAAAATCAGTTAAGAGATTCATAATTACATTTTTGGACAATAGTATAATCCCTCTGAGGTAATATTTGATCATATTTTCTTATGGCTAGGAAATTGTATTTAGAATAGAAATTCAAACTCCAGTCTTTCTAACCACTTACAAATTAGCTAATTTTTATTATCAGTTGCAACAATATTTTAAGCCTCCCATTTAAAGTTTAACTATGGTGATTTCACTATTTAAAAGAGTATCAAATTGGATTCAGACATTATAGTATATTAATATTTTTATTGAGAGGGTAGACATAAGACAGGGAGAGATTGTTCCTTATATTATGAAATAAATGCAACTTACTTGCCCTGGACCTACAGATGATAAACTAGTTACTCTCAGTTAATTCATACTATCAGTGGGCTAGCATTTTTTTTTCAGAAGTATATTTGCAGAAATATTTGTATTACATAGTAGTAATGTGTCATTACAAATGGATTCAAATTGGCTCTTTGCATTATATTTTTCACAATACTACATAGTATCTTTTTTTTTTTTTTTCTAGGTGGTCAATATGATTTATTTTTCATACTACAAACACTGCAAGGTTGCACAAACGGTTAACTAACCTTTATCCACATTATTTACATTTAATAACCATGGTCATATATTAGCCAATTCCTTGGGATTTGCTGAACAATTCCCTACCCAGCCTTTCAGTCTTTTAATATTAAGGCCATTCTTTAAACACAGTCTAAAGTGTTGACCTGGGCCTCACTACATAGTATCTTAATGACTCAGGCATACTGGTTTTGAAAGCTCTTACCTTTCTAATGCTGTTTGAGGGCTTTAGATAGTATGAGCAGATTTAAAATGTCAAGTCTGTGGGTCTGTTCAGTCTCATAGGCCAGAGCAGCATGGCGGTCAGTCACAGTGAGCACTCAGACAGGACCTGTATTGTCTGACCTGGGAACGCCACAGCTGTTAATCGTGCTGGGTTGGAGTGTGTCACTGCCATGTGTTTTTGATTGAAGAAAAGCTACAGTGTTAGGGCTGCCACCAGAATCTTTAGAAATAAGTAAGAATTACTGACCTCCTTTCATATTGTTCATTTCTTTTATGACTGTACAGTTGATTGACTATAATGCTAAAGGGATTATTTGTGTAGAAGTTCTGCATTTTTATGTCCAAATTATATAGTCAACATTTACTAAAAGCAGTTATTAGAAATTTTTATTGCTGTTATAAAGGTGATGTACAGAAGAATTACAGTTATGTAAGTCAGGTAATGAGTACATTTCTTTTTGGACAGCATCACCCCTTCCCTCACTCTCTCCCAATTTTTCCCTCTCATTCCCACCACAAGTTTGTACAGTTCATTTTCAGCATAGTGTCTACTGAGTACCACTGCTGAATTTGTTTGCCCTTTGTAAAAAGCAGTTCTTTTAAAAGCAGTCCTCTCAACATAAATTTGTGCGTCTTTGTTTTTCTTCTAATTTGACTCGTCATTAATATAACATTTTTATTGTTTTTTAAAAGATATATCACTTTATGAGATCTGTTACCAACCAGTGTTAGCGCCCAATTACCCATATATTTTTTGTGTGTTCTTAATGGATACTATTTTCTGCTTGTTCTCTCAGTAGGATCAGTGAGTGATGTTAGCTTCATATTAATTCCAAACCTAACCCCTACGTCAGGTCATAGAAAATTTAGTGCTTGTGTCTAGTTCAAGATCTCCTTTATTCAACAGATACCTCCTGCCAGTTCATAGCTCCTCTTCCAGATTCTAAAAGAGTTTGTCTTTTTTTTCCGTGATGAGAAATCCATCCTTATATATATTTCTAGATTTAAATGTGATACTTGTATCCCAAGAATGGTTTTAAAAAGATTCTGGGATTATTGAACCAAGAAATATACCTTGACAGCTGGGTGCTGTTGGCTCACGCCTATAATCCTAGCCACTCAGGAGGTAGAGATCTAAGGATCCCAGTTCAAAGCCAGCCTGGGCAGAAAAATCCCCATGAGTCTCTTATCTCCAATTAACCACTCCAAAACTGGGCGTGGAGCTGTGGCTCAAAATGGTAGAGTGCTAGCCTTGGGGCAGAGCCCTCTCCTCTCCCTGAAAATAAAGATGTACCTTGAAGGAATAACTAATAAAAACCCACTTAAAATATATCATCTTAATGCACTGTGGGACAGAATTATTTTAAAGAAGGTTGTCTGAAACTGACTTAAACTATAGTAAATATTAGTGTCTTTGAAAGAGGTTTCAGATAGAGATAAATGGTTGAGCCTTCTTTCTAACTAATTAGAGGGCTGTACATATTAGTAGTTCCCAGGCCAATGTCTCTACTCTAAATGATTTTAACCTAAGAGTTTAAGCAACTAATAAGGGGGGAGGGTTGTGTATGGAATTAACTCATTCATTTTATTCTACTTGATAAATTACCTATTAATTCTTCTTGGATTCTTGTGTGTTGGCCCCGCTATTGCTTACATATCAGAAGTAAGTCTAGCATCTTCCATCCAAAATTAGAAACACTTCTGGTCTCAAGCATTTTGGATAAGAGATACACAACATGTGTACACTTTCCTGTACTTTGTTTTTTGTCACTTAACATGTAATATTCATCTGTTCCTATCAGAAAACAGAAAACTTGTTCACTTGTTTTCTTCAACCTAACATCAAACCAATCCTTGTTTGGTGAATATCTGTTATTTTCAATATTTCTGCATAATTACAGTGCTAAGAAGAATTTTATTGTACAAGCTATTTGCAATACTTGTAGCAATGTCTCTCTAAACAGAGAAGCAAAATTGGTAGATCAGCTGATACATTATTTCCACTCCATAAAAGTCTATTTCAGACAGTGGTTAAATATTAAAACTTGTGATCAAGACAGGAAAACATTTTCCCACAGATAGTAGGGCTTGAACTCTGGGTCTGGGCGCTGTCCCTCAGCTCTTCAGCTCAAGGCAAGCACTACCACTTGAGCCACAGTGCCACTTTTGGTTTTCTGGTGGTTTATTGGAGATGAGAGTTTCACGGACTTTCCTGCCTGGGCTGGCTTTGAACCGTGATCCTCAGATCTCAGCCTCTTGAGTAGCTAGGATTACAAGCGTGATCCACCAGTGCCTAGCTTAATTTAGTTTTTAAAGCTTCTGGTGAGATTGAATCTCATAAAATGTATACAAAAGGTATAGAAATAAGCTGGGTCCTGGTGGCTCATGTCTGTAAACCTAGCTAATCAGGAGGCTGAGCACTGAGGATCACAGTTTGAAGTCAGCCTGACCAGAAAAGTCCTTGTGAGACCCTTTATTTCCAATAAACTTCTCAAAAAAGCAGTAAGTGGTAGAGTGCTAACCTTGAGCACAAAGAAGTTCAGAGACAGGCCCTGAGTTCAGACCAGCAAAAATCAATCAATCAATCAATAATAGTGTTTAGGCTGTAGCTACGCAGTTGTAGAAGTGCTTTCCCAGTGTGTATTAAGCTCTGGATTCAGATCTCAGCAACACACAGCTGTAAAAATAGAAACTTGTTTTTTTTTTTTTTTTTTACTAAGAGTTGCCAAAGACATGATCACTATTAGCAACTAAATTCAGATAAAACCTCCAGAACCTGTTTCACACATACAATACAGTCCCTCATTTACTGTCATCTTATCCCCACTACCTTTTACTGTTCAAAAGCTTTTAGTGAGTTTTGGTTTGTTGTATTCATTCACCAATGCAATGTATTTCAATATTTTCACCCTCTAACGTTTATTCCCTCAAGTTGTCCCACGGTTACATATGGTAGAGAGAGAAAGAGAGTATTTGTGTGTATCTGTGTGTATGATCTTGTATGTGCTTACATATCTGTTTATCTTTTAGGTCTAGCATTCACAGATAAGTTCCAAATCTGGGTTATTTAACATGATGATCTCCAGTTCCATCCATCTTCCTGAAAACAACATAATTTCATTCTTCCTTACTGATATGTACAGATATGTACATTCTCTTGATCCATTCATCAGTTGTCATCTGGGCTGTTTCCACAGCTAGACTATTGCGAATAATGAACATAGGTGTGTAAGTGTTTCTATTGTAACCATGTTCTTTCAGATCTATGCCTAATAGTGGTATTGCTGGATTTTATGGTAGTTCTGTTTTTAGTATTTTAAGAACCTTTATACTGATTTCCACAGTGGTTGCATTAGTTTACATTTCCACCAATAGTGGATGGATGAGGATCTCCTTTTTCTTCTGTATCCCAACCAGCATTTGTTGTTGTTTGTGTTCTTGATGATGGATGTTTGGACTTCAGTGAGATGGAATCTCTACGTTGTTTTGATTTGCATTATCTTTATAACCTGGATATTGAGCATTCATCTTGCATTTACTGATCATTTGTATTACCTTTGAAAATGGTCTGTTCAGATCACTTGTCCATTTATTAACTAGGTTGTTGATCCTTTGGGGGTTAGCTTTTTTAGCTCTTTGTATATTCTGGTTGTTAATCCCTTGTTAGATATAGAGCTGATGACAATTTTCTCCTATAGGCTTTCTCTTCAGTCCAGTGATTATTTCTTTTATTGTAGCTTTTTGGTTTGATGTAATCCTATTTGTCCTTGCTCTTTCTTACTTGTTGAGCAATTGGAGTTCTATTCGGGAGGTTAATGCTTATGCTTGTATGTTATAGTATTTTCTCTATTTTTTTTTTTTCCTGTAGTAGTTTCACAGTTTCTAGTCTTGATCCATTACAACTTGATACCAGTACAAGGTGTAAGTTGGGGATCTAGTTGTCTTTTTTTTTTTAATTTTTTGGTCCAGTCGTGGGGCCTGAACTCTGGGCCTGGGCACTGTCCCTCAGCTCTTCAGCTCAAGGCTAGCACTCTGCCACTTGAGCCACAGCGCCACTTCCGGCTTTTTTTTCTTTTATCTGCTTATGTGGTGCTGAAGAATTGAACCCAGGGCCTCTTGCATGCAAGGCAAGCGCTTTACCACTGAGCCACCTTCCCAGCCCCTCTTTTTTTTTTTTTTAAGACAAGTTCTTACTATAAAAACCAGGTCTCACTATATAACCTTAATCTCGCTATTTTTCTGCCTCAGTCAGCCTTCTTACTGCTGGAATCCTAGGTGTACACATCTATCTTTGAGAGTTGAACATGGTGGTACATGGGATTTTAGGACTTAAAGGAAGGTCATGTGTTTGTTTGAATTCTTGTATTTTTTGAATTGTGAATTCGAGTATTTATTTTTAGAGTTAGGGAGCTGAATTCTACATTGCTATTTGTAAGTTCTTTTATTTTTATTTTTTAATCTTTAATTTTTTTGCCAGTCCTGGGGCTTGAACTCAGGGCCTGGGCACTGTCCCTGAGCTTCTTTTGTTCAAGGCTAGAACTGTACCACTTGAGCCACAGCACCACTTCCAGCTTTTTTTGTTTATGTGATACTGAGGAATTGAGCCCAGGTCTTTATGCGTGTGAGACAAGCACTCTACCACTAAGCCACATTCCCAGCCAATTGCTTTTATTAATAGGATGGGCTTGGGTTAACTAATAATAGACTAGATTTTACTGACTTTGTTTTACAGAGAATACAAGCTAGCATTCTAAAAGCATTTAACAACCCAACTACTAGGACTGCTGATGAAGAAACTAGAAAAAAAGTCAAAGGTATGTTGACTCTTTAATTGTTAAAGCTTTTTTCTAAAGAAAAAATATTCACTATTCTTTATAGTAGGAGAATTGATTATTGTAGGAGCTAATTTTCTAAAGTAGGACTGTTGAAAGGATACACCAATGGCTATAAGATACTTTAGTAAGACATAGAAAATGTTAGAATGTATTGTAGGAATTAAAAAAACAAACGAATAACTTGACACCACTCATGCCCTTTTGTAAGATCTGGGAAGACTTGAAAGATTGTTGAAAGTAGCAACCTCCCTCAGAAGTTGTAACATTTTAGGTATTTTAACATTTTGATAAGTAGGTTTATGAATTCATTAACTAGTTTTCTCTAACGTATGCTTAACTGTGCCAAAGAAATTGTAAATAAATTATTCTACTAAGGAGATTGATAATAGTCAACCCTAAGAACATCTTACCTACTCTAGTGCTTTCTCTTTATCTGGCCAATTGTGAGGCCAAAAAAAAAAAATTATTAATGAAAGCGTATCACATTTATAGATATTATAGTGTAAATTTTTATCTTTTGATATTAATAATTTACCTTATCCTAAGTGTGTTCTGCTTTGTGCTATCAGTTAATGTTAGTGTGAAGTCATTGTTTTAGGAGACATTTAAACATTGTGTTTTATTTATTTCTAACTTCTATTTTTGCCATTTTATAATATTCATACTACATGCTTATACTTTGTAACCAAATACATATATACTGTTACATACACTCTTAAATATAGTTACTTAAATATAGTTACTATATGCTCTTAAACTCTATTACAGTTAGAGTTCAAGAATTTTAGCTTTTCAGTTATGCTTCTTGTTTTTTTATGTTGAGATAGTGCCATCTAGTGCATGTTTACAATAGCAACCTTGTTTTTCTTGCCCTTTCTGTAATCTTACTCCCTTTAATTCCTTGAATAATTTTTTTAATGCACCAGTATTTTGAAGAGTTACTGTAAAATGTTTGATACTTGCAAATGTAAGTGCTCTGTTATTCAGTATTTAAGATAGTTTTGAATGATTTTAATGACTTAAGCTTGGGTGCTGGTGGCTCACACCTGTAATCCCAGCTAATCAGGAAGCTGAGATTTGAGGATTGAGGTTGAAAGCCAGCCCAGGCTGACAAATCTATGAGACTCTTATCTCCTGTTAGCCAGCCAAAAGCCAGCTGGAGGCATGGCTTTATATAATGGCAGCTGTGAGTAAGAAGATAAGAGAGAGTATGAGACCTTACACATACCCCCCCCCCCCCCATAGAAGCTATTTCTATGAAATTTGAGGGTAGAGGCACAAAAATGGTGGAAGAAAAGTTGAAGAGGGCTAAATTTTGTTAATATATTTCTGCCTCATGGTTTATTAAGGACATTTTTAAAGTAGAGATCATTGAATAATGTAGCCTCTTAATGTGTATAACTCATCCAAGACTACATTAATGGCATATATTGAATATCTATTTTTCCAACCCCAGATTATTGTGTGACAAATGATTGACACAGCTTCCTTTGATTTATAAGTACTTCACTTTCAACTTTTTACAATATTATTAAGCATGTATGTATGTATGTGTGTTTCTAAGAGTTGTTAATTGCCCATGTTAATACCTTAGGTTATGATATGTCAACTTGTCTTTTACAACTCTTTTCATAGCCAGAGGCCTGTCAGCTAGTCTTGAAAACAGTGTTCCTCATTGTTCTTTCTACTCAGCTTAAGGCACAAAGGCTTTAAATGGGTTAATGAAACAGTTGGGGGATAGTAGGGATAGTGGTTATAGCTTTATTTTCCTCTTAAGAACAACTAGTTTTTGGAAATCATAGTAGTTGGTAGTCATATTTGCCCTACAGAATTGTGAAAGACCCTATATTGTTACAGTAAACTATACTACCAAATGCAATACAGGAAAAAAAATTCCCTATTTGCATTAGGTTTGAATAGACAATTAATAGCATGTAACACTATTAGATGGTTGATTTTTTGTGTTAAAAAGTATGATTTTTACAGCATATGGAAAAGAAGGCGTAAAAATGAACTTCATAGATCGGATCTTTATTGGTGAATTAACTAGCACAGTCATGTGTGAAGAATGTGCAAACGTAGGTACTTTGGAATTCACTTCATGGAATAGATTACAGCCACATCATTTTTATTATGTGTTACTTTTTTTGTTTTTCAAGTATCACAGTGTTTATTGATGGGTACAAGTAGATAAAGTCAGGACATGAACATAATTTAGTAGACATAATTTCAGTGCCAGTTCAAATTCTACTTATTTCACACTCACAAACATGAGTTCAAAGACATTAATGGTTTCTTGGGACTGGTCAGTTTTGTGTAATCAAACCATGTTGATTTACTTACATGATTGTGTACTTGTCCACACTCAAGTCTGGCATGTAAAAACTATTAGCAGTAGAAACATAGCCAGTATTTTTTGTTTGTTTGTTTGTTTGTTTGAGACAGGGTTTCACTATGTAGCCAGACTGTCCTTGAACTGACTGTCCTTCTGCCTCATCCTAATAAGGGCTGGGATTACAAGTGTATGCCACCATGCTGGGCAAGGCTATCTTAATATGCTATCTATACTAGCTGCCTATTTAGATGGAAGTGTCAGAGAAATTTCTGTGGCGAGAGTAACTATGTTAAGTTGCAATGTCCTAGTTCCAATAGAATGACATAGTAACATAGTAGGATGATTGTAAAACAATTGATTTAAACTTTGTATGTATATGATGTGACAAAGTATTTTTATTAAGCTCACCCATTTTTTTGAGTTTAGTATTAATTTTATTTTAAATATCGTCTTTTACAATTTAAAGCATTCATAAATTTTTGTAGATTTTTTTTCTTTTGCAATATTTTTGAAAGCATAGGGCTTAAGATACACATTTAGACTTTTATCAGATTTTAATGATAAAAAGGAGTCTGTATGTGCATTTTTTTCTGTCCCAGATTATAGAATACTTTTCTGTGTTTTCTCTATCCTTATGAAATCAGGATTATAAACTATATCTTCTAGCTTGTTACATTGAAATACAGAAGTGATAACATGGTGCTTACTTAAATGTTCAGAAAACTGAACACAGAAGTTGATTTCTCTCTTACAAAGGTTAGAGGGTGTCCTTTAAAGTTGAAATATCCTATGGAATCTACAAACACCTTTTCAGAGGCTCTGCTTTTTTTATGGCTTTATCTTAACACTTCATGTAATTTATTCTAATTTAGAAGTTTTAAGTTGCTTGGGAAATTTGATTAGTTTGCATCTTTTAAAAAATAAAATGACTACACTTGAATTCTAACTGAAGTTCTCAATCTGTTTTCTTTTTAAGATCTCCACAGTAAAAGATCCTTTCATTGATATTTCACTTCCTATAATAGAAGAAAGGGTAAGAAAACAAAAGGAATCATAAGGATTTTTTTGAAGAACTTTTATTTATTCATTCATTTATTTAGTGACCATATTTATTTGTGGAACATAATATTAGATATCTGAACATCACATTTTACATGTTACTGAGTTTGCTATAGTTCTTGTTTTCAGAAAATTAAATCCTTATGCTTTCTATTTTTATGAATCAAAGTTAAACAAATCATCTTTTTATTTTTTCAAGTGTGTTAGAGATTTTTTTTAAAGACAATATCCAGCATTTATTTGCTAAATTTATTTGTTGTATATATTATATCTATATAGGTTTCAAAACCTGTACTTTCTGGGAAAATGAACAGATGTAGAAGTTTACAGGAGGCAGATCATGACCAGCACCGGGACACAGTCGCTGTGCAGAGTACTCAGCAGCCCAGAGCTGCCAGGAAGCAGTCCTCAGCTAAGGATAAGGTAGGACTCACATTTGTTATACACCTGTTTTTTAATTCTTTTTCATAAAGAAAAATCTTATACATTTACAAGTTGAGAAAATCAAATAATTAATACCCATATTTCTAGTTTGTTTTTTGTTTTTTTTTTTTTGGTGGTAGTGATGGTATTGGGGTTTGAACTCAGGGCCTTATACTTATTAAGGAGGCCATCGCCGGAGCCCTCCCCCCAGCCCTCCATACTCCCATCTCACCTTCATAATTATCAACTCAGCAAATCATGCTTTCACTTTATCACTCTCTCTACTCCAGATTATTTTGAAATAAATCCAAAATCTACTGTCACGATACAATCTAAAGGATCTTCTTTAGGAGCTGGGGATATAGTTCAGTGGGAGAGTACTTTCGTAGCATACTCAAGGTTCTGAATTTAATACAGAAATCTCAGAAAAGTATTTAAAAATAAAGATACTCTGTGTAAAAGCATAGTACCATCATAATGATAAAAGTTGGGTACCAGATAAGGAATTTAGTGCTTTGTGTTTGCTAACATGCACTGTACCAGTTGAACTACACCCAGTAAACAAAAGGAAGAGAAACATTTCCTGCTTTCTATGAAGGACAGGAAAGTCAATACACAGGCCTGCTAGTTTTTTTTTTTGTTGTTGTTGTTGTTTTTTTGGGTCCAGTCGTGGGGCTTCAACTCTGGGCCTGGGCACTGTCCTCAGCTCGTCAGCTCAAGGCTAGCGTTCTACCACTTGAGCCACAGCACCACTTCCAGCTTTTTTCTTTTTGCTTATGTGGTGCATGCCTCAGGCATGCAAGGCAAGCGCTCTACCACTGAGCCACCTTCGCAGCCCCTGGCCTGCTAGTTTTTGAGATAGGTTCTGACCAATTTTTTTTTCCCCCAGTTGCTTAGGAAATGGAAAGCTATCAATCCACATTATTCTTCACTTAAAAAAAAATTTTGTATGCAAAATGATCAATACTGATTTGACAAATTGACACATACAAAATTTAAATTACTCTTTTAGTAACTGAGGCCTCAAAGTGTCAAGACTGTACAAAATGGACACTCAGTAATCATTGGGATTTTTTATTTTTTATTCTTTTTGTGCTTGTACTAGGGCTTGAACTCAGACTCTGGCACTGTCCCTTAGCTTTTTCACTCAAGCCACAAATAGAGCTCAGGCTTTTTGGTGGCTAACTGGAGATAAAGAATTTCATAGACTTTCCTGCTGGAGCTAGCTTCTAACTGTAATCCTCAGATATTGTCCTCCTGAGTAGCTAGGATTACAGGCATGAGCCACTGGCCCCTGGCCCTTTGAGAATTCCTTGAGACAAAATAAAAGAGATACATTTCTTCTTGGAATATTTTTATCTGCCCTACATTTTTAAGATTTAAAATGAATTTTCCTTTCATTATTTAACTGTGTGTATAACAAAAAAAGAAGCTCCTTCCATCTTTTAAAATCGATAATAAGACATACATGCTGATCTGCTAGTAAAATAGTGAGATTAAGTGAATGGATAATTCTCTTCACTGTCAAACTTAGGTTATTTTACCTCTGTTACACAGTCAACAAGAAACAGTTGCGCTAACTATGATTTAAAAACCTAGCTGGGTGCTAGTGACTCATGCCTGTAATCCTAACTACTCAGAGGCTGAGATCTGAGGATCATTCTTTGAAGCCAGCTCCAGCAAGGAAGTCTCTGAGACTCTTATCCCCAGTTAGCCACCAAAAATCAATTCAGGCCTCAGTACACACACACACACACACACACACACACACACACACACACACACACACACACACACACACACACACACACACACACACACACACACACACACACACACACACACACACACACACACACACACACACACACACACACACACACACACACGGCAACCATCAATACAATCATGAGACAGCTTGAAATGTATTAATTTTTCTTGTGTTTAAAAAATACATAGTACATTTTCAAATTATAAAATTCATGTACGAAAAGATTTACGTTTTCTTCATAACCCTGGGTTCCAAAAATGTTTTTCCCTTCCACAAAAACAGGTGACCACTGTTGTTTGTTCCCAAATAAAGTTTTAGTTTTAACTTTTTGTTTTTGTCTTTTCTTTTTTGGTACTGGGGATCAAACCCAGGATATTTACCGTGGTAGGCAAGTGCTTTGCCACTGAACTACATACCAGCTCAGTTATAGTTTTAAATTAGAACTCTTTGTTAGTATATTTTCTGTTGATCTTAGTTTAGGTAGATTTTGGAAATGGATGTCATAGAAAGCATGTTTAATAGTTATAGAACAATTAAATAGGACTTTCAGTTTATTTTCAGTAAGGTCACAGATTCTTTTCTTTGTGAACACTGCCAATTTACAGAATCAAGGAATTACTAGCAGAAAACATGGAAGAAAATTATCACCTGGAGAAAACTCTGCTGTTATATATGAGAATAATGAAGTCCTCCAAAGGAGTGGGGAATCATCAGCCTTTGCAAGCATTGAGAGTACTGCAAGGTCTCTGACAGAAAGCCCTACAGATGGCAGTGACAAAGCGGCAAGCAATTCTGAATCTAGCGCTGATGCTGACAGTGAGGCTTCAGAATCGGAAAGCACTTCCCGGAAGAGCAAGCTGCCTAGATCCCATGGTGAAGCCCATGGGCACACACATAGGCACCGTCAGCTGCTGCCATCACCTGAACTGCCACATTCCAAGACTGACAGTGGAGATGAGGGAATAGCTCAAGCAATTTCTGACCTTCGATTGAACAACACTGCAACTGGAGATAGAGATTTTGACAGAGAAAATCATCCCCTTAATGGTCCAAACAACCTATGTCTTCCAGATAGGAAACATATGAGGCCTCACAGTCCCCAAAATGCTTTTCAGACTCTTTCTCAGAGCTATGTAACTACTTCCAAAGAATGTTCAATTCAGTCCTGTCTCTACCAGTTTACATCTATGGAATTACTAATGGGTAATAATAAGCTTCTCTGTGAGAATTGTACTCAAAAGAAGCAGAAATACTTAAAGGAAAGCAGTTCTGCAGGTACATGTTTATCTTAACTTGTTTTTATATTATTTTGAAAGATCATCAGTGAGTAGTGGGCTATAGATTTCCACAGGGAGGAGCCTGCAAGTCAGTCAGTGTCTCAGGAATGGTCTTATTCATGTTTGTGCCTTAGCCATTTAAGATACTGGCTGAGCAGATTACATTTCCAGTAGATTTTTGTGGAATTAAATTGAAGAGTAAGAGGTACATATCTCAGCCTTGAAAGTCCTACTCCAGAATCCTCCCCCCCCCCCCCCTCAGTCCAGTCCTGGGGCTTGAACTGAGGGCCTGGGCACTGTCTCTGAGCTTCTTTTGCTCTAGGCTGGCACTCTACCACTTAAGCCACAGTGCTACTTCCAGCATTTTTTGTTTATGTGGTATTGAAGAATCAAACCCAGTGTTTCATGTATACTAGGTAAGCACTCTACCACTAAGCCACATTCCCAGCCCTACTCCACAATCTTAATTGAAGGAACTAGCTATCCAAAACTTTATCCCTAAAGGGTACAGGCATATCGCTAATGAAATTAATGGCTAGATTGATGACAATCTCAATCCACAAATGCCTTAATCAAATGCAAAGCATACTTACTGTGCCTACCTTTTTCTTTTGGTGAAGTTAAAGAGATCAAGAGATGATTGCCATATTGGAAAAAATGGTTGAGTTCCCAAGAAGTTGGGGGCATTTGATGCCCCATGGGTCACAGGAGGAAGTCTAAGGGTCAGTCAGGAGGCAGAGATTAGAGAAAAAGGTAACTGGGCAAGAACTTTATTGTGATTATGGAGGGGAGGATTGGGTGAGGCTGATTAAAGGAGGCCTAGGAATGGTTACTTGGATAATGTTAGTGGGTTCTAGGACATAGAGGCTGTCCTGAATTACCTGGTACTTGGCGCTGGAGTGATAGGGCAGATAGATCATGACCCAAAGTATAAGAACCCAGTTAATAAGGCTGTTGGGATCAAGGTCTTGGCAGAGTGGGTTCTATATGAAAGGTACACTTAAGTCGATTGCTATTCCTAGAAATTAGAAAGCCCGAGGTAGGATTGACTCTCCAATATGAGCAAGGCCATGGATATAAAAACATCAGAATAAAGACATACTTCATGCACTAGTAATTAAAGAAATGGCTAGATGGGAGAAGAAATATCCATTTACATGAATCCAAGTTAAATATGCAGTTGTTTATATTCAAATCCTATCATAAATCCTTTGTAACTACTTTTGCTGAAATGTTCTATGAATCCCCATGGTGTAGATTCTCCCTTTGCTGCAATGAGTAAGTAGGAGACCTAACTTCTGAAACCATTAAATGAGCTCAGTCAGTAGAGAGCTAGCCAATGAGCAAAAGCAGCAGGTTGTACTGAATTTTGAGTCCCAGTTTGGGACCTAAAAAAAACCAAAAACAAAAAAAGAGCTTCTGGTGGCATTTGGCTGGAATGTACTGACATTAAGTTACTACCAATCTTTCCAGTTTCCAGATTTCTGCTACAAATGTCACCTTTCCTATTCTTTGTCTTTACTGTGTGCCTTTTATGAAAGCCTTTGCTTTTATTTCAGTGGAGTATTGGAAAGGAATAGAGGAACCTATCATCAGAAGTCCAATTCTATTAACATTGTACTAAAAAATGTGGAATGACGATCTCAGTGAATGTTTACTGTGTTACATGGTGGGTAAAATATAGTAACTTTATCGTTTTTTATGCAGAAAAGAAAGCAGAAGGAGTTTATACGAATGCCAGGAAGCAACTGCTCATTTCTGCTGTTCCAGCTATCCTGATTCTCCATCTTAAGAGATTCCATCAGGTAAAAAACTTCTCTGGTAGAACTTAGTCCATTCATTGTGTGTTCTGCAGAGCCCTAAGTCCTGTAAAAGGCCATCAAGTTAGAAAGTCATTTATAAAATTTAAATATTTTTCATGTGGGATTTCCTGCATTTCCACTCAAAACAGTTTATAAGACTTGGCTGATTAACAGTTTTAAGGGCAAAGGGTGTAGCTCAGTGGCAGAGCACTTGCCTAGCATATACACGAGGCCCTGAGTTCAATTCTAGTACTGCCAAAGAAATGTTTAATTCACAGTATTAGAACATTTAAGGGGGCTGGGAATGTGGCCTCGTGGTAGAGTACTTGCCTAGCATGCATGAAGTCCTCGGTCCGATTCCTCAGCACCACATAAACAGAAAATGCTGAAAGTGGTACTAGCCTTGAGCAAAAAAGCTGAAGGACAGCACCCAGACCCTGAGTTCAAGCCCCAGGAGCAGCGCGCGCACATGCATACATACACATGCATACACACACATGCATACACACACATGCATACACACATGCATACACACACATGCATACACACACACACAGGAGCAGCGCGCACATGCATACACACACATGCACACACACACACCAAAAACATAGAAGCTATTTTTTTATACTTGTTTTAAAATAATTCTAGAAACAAATAGTTTGACTGAAATTGTTACTAAAATCTGACCATAATTTAAAGCAATTGCATGTGATAAAGGAAGAATTGCAAATAAGATGGGAAGGGGACTGGACTTATCTAGTAAAGGACTTAGGGAAAAATACCTCTTGAAGAAATAAAAATTTAGAGCTTCCTCTAGATCACCATATTATTTTCTAATATATTTTAGTGCACAAAACCAATTATCAACAAGAGTAGGATGAAATTAAATGAGTATTTGCTCCTACCTCAGTGTGAGGGACTTTTCTAAGTATAAAATCCATGAAAGGAGGGGCTGGGAAGGTGGCTCAGTGGTAGAGTGCTTGCCTTGCATGCCTGAAGCCCTGGGTTCGATTCCTCAGCACCACATAAGCAAAAAGAAAAAAGCCGGAAGTGGCGCTGTGGCTCAAGTGGTAGAGCGCTAGCCTTGAGCTGAAGAGCTGAGGGACAGCGCCCAGGCCCAGAGTTCAGGCCTCATGACTGGACCCAAAATAAATAAATAAATAAATAAGTAAATAAAATCCATGAAAGGAAAAGATTGAAGTTGTCTTGTGTGTCCATAGATCAAACATAGGATCTTGTGTATACTAACTGTGCATTCTCTACTGCATTATAAACCCAACATAGATTGAAAGTTTTGATTATATAGTACAACATTCCTGCTATTGATGAGCAGGAAGAGCTTTTATTCTATATCTCACCCTATTGACCAAAAGATTAAGTTTTGGGTTTAAGTTTTGTGGGTTTTTTTTGTTTTATTTTTTGTTTTTTTTTTTTGCGGGCACTAAGGCTTGAATTCTCTGGGCCTGGGTGCTGCTGTTCCTGAGCTTATCTGGCTCAAGGCTAGCACTTTACTACTTAAGTCATAGCATCACTTTAAGTTTTTTTTTCTGAGTAGTTTATTGAAGATAAGAGTCTCATAGACTTTCCTGCCCAGGTTGGCTTTAAACCTCAATCCTCAGATTTCAGCCTCCTGAGTAGCTAGGATTTCAGGCGTGAGCCACCAGTGCCTGGCCAAGTTTTTATTTTCTATACCTCATATATAGAAAAAAGTTCTAGCATATGATTCATATCTTCTGTGATGACTGGACTTTACAGTATGTTTATTTTGGTTTTTGAGATCTCTGCTAATCACAATAAATACATTTTAAAAGTAATCATGTACATTATGAAGACAACACATTATAATTTGGTCAACATATTTTAATTTAATTTTAATTTTATTTTTTGCTGCTACTGGGGTTTGAACTCAGAGCCTGGAACATGATAGACTGGTACAACACTGGTACAATACCATGCCTCCATCTCTACTTTATCCCAGCTGTGCAAATGCCTGAGCTACAATCTGCCCACTTTTTAAGCTTACTGTTATTGCTGGGATTCTAGGCACCCATCACCAATTCCAGCTTCCCTTCTCTTCCTATCTGAAAGATGGAGTCTCTCAATCCTTTGTGTCCCAGCTATCTGGCACCACAATCTCCCCATTTTCAGCCTTTCTTGGAGCTTTGGATAACATGCACTTTCCACTGTAATCACTTATGGGCTGAGAAGGAGGCTTTGCTGACTTTTCTGCCCAGACTGATCTTGAACTGGACTCCCTCCATTCTCAGCCTCTCAAGTATCTGGATTAGGCATGAGCCATAGGCACCCAACTATAAGAACTCTTAAATACCAATAAGACAGCCAGGATCTGGTGGCTCACACCTGTAATCCTAACTAGCCAGGAGGCTGAGATTTGAGGATTGAGGTTCAAAACCAGCCAGGGCAGGAAAGTTCATGAGACTGTTAATCTCCAGGTAAATACTAAAAAAGCGGGAAGTGGAATAGCTCAAGTGTAAGAGCGCTAGCCTTGAGCAAAAGAGCTCAGGGCCATGCACAGGTCCTGAAGTCCCAAGACTGGCACAAATAAAATAAGGATCAGTAAGACAAATATGAAGATATAATATGAGTGAAGAATGACCAATTAACAGTTCTAGAAGAGGAAGTACAAATTCCAAGAAACTGAAAATAGGCCTAGCCTTCCCATCAAAAGAATTGCAAGTAAAATGACAGATTCCTTCCTTTTGTATCCTATTCAAATTAGCAAAGATATAGTAGTGCTGATAAAGATGACGTTGGGGCATAGACATTCTCGTTTATCGCCAGTGGGAATGTAAATTAACACAGTCTTCTAAAAAGTAAGTTAGAAATGGGTATCAAGAACAAGGAGTGGGCTGAGATGTAGCTTAGTAGCAAAGTACTTGCCTAGCAAGTGCAACATCCTGGGTTTGGTCCCCAGTACCAAAAAAGAAAAGACAAAACAAAACAACAACAACAAAAAGACAAGGAGTGTTTTTCAGTACAACAGTTTTTGACTAAAAATACTCCTCAGTAAATAATTCACTTCTAAGAACCTATAAGAAATAGGAAATAAACACATAAACAGAAGTGTTCTTTGTATAGATCAAGCCGAATGTAAAGCCTAATGTCCAGTGTGTAGGACACTGATTTATATTTTAATGACTGGAAAATTGGTAGTAAAAAAGACCTAATGGGCCTTTTTTCTGCATAAAGTAGGTAAAACTGTCTAAACCGTCTAGAATTAAGTTCATTGTTAAAAGGTCATTGAATTAGGCCTAAACACATTTTGACTTTTTTTTTTGTCAGTTGTGGGGTTTGAACTCAGGGCCTAGACATTGTACCTGAGCTCTTTTGCACATGGCTGGCGCTCTACCACTTTGAGCTACTTCTGGTTTTGGGGTGGTTAATTAGAGATAAGAGCATGGACTTTCCTGCCAGGCTGCCTTTGAACCGCAATCATCAGATCTCAGCCTCTTCAATAGTTAGGATTCCAGGTGTGAGCCACTGGTACCCAGCCACATTTTGACTCTTATGTTGGATATATTTCATGATAGCTGTATAGTCTGGAGCTTAAATTATGTGTGTGTGTGCATGTGTATGTGCTACTGAAGCTTGAACTCAGAGCCTCAAGCTCTTGCTTGGCTTTTTTCACTCAAGACTGGCTCTCTATCACTGGATCATGCCTCTACTTTTGGCTTTTTGCTGGTTAGTTGGAAATAGGAGCCTCGTGGACTTTCTTGCTTAAGCTGGCTTTGAACTGTGACCCTCAAATCTCAGTCTCCTAAGTAGCTAAGATTACAGGTTTGAGCTACCAGTGCCCAGCAGTAGCTTAGATTTTATCACTTAAAATTAATTTTTTGGGGGCTGGGAAGGTGGCTCAGTGGTAAAGCGCTTGCCTTGCATGCCAGAGGCCCTGGGTTCGAATCCTCAGCACCACATAAGCAAAAAGAAAAAAGCCGAAAGTGGCGCTGTGGCCCAAGTGGTAGAGCGCTAGCCTTGAGCTGAAGAGCTGAGGGACAGCGCCCAGGCCCAGAGGTCAGGCCCCACGACTGGACCCAAAAAAAAAAAAAATTAATTTTTTTGTTATGTGTTGGATAACCAGAGGGAGGATAATTATTGCCTTTATTGGTTTTGGTACAAATCCTCATGTAAAAGAACCATCTTTGTACTATCAATTTACGAAATCCAACTTTTTAACTTAGTCATAGCAACTGACTATTAGTCACGTTTATTTATTTTTTTATTTTTATTTTTTTTGGTCCAGTCGTGGGGCCTGAACTCTGGGCCTGGATGCTGTCCCTCAGCTCTTCAGCTCAAGGCTAGCGCTCTACCACTTGAGCCACAACGCTACTTCCGGCTTTTTTCTTTTTGCTTATATGGTGCTGAGGAATCGAATCCAGGGCCTCATGCATGCAAGGCAAGCGCTCTACCACTGAGCCACCTTCCCAGCCCTAGTCACATTTATTTTTGTCTATAAAAAAAAAATCTAACAGTAGCCAGGCACCAGTGGCTCATGCCTGTAATTCTAGTTACTCAGGAGGCTGAGATCTGAGGATTGTGGCTCAGAGCCAGCCCAGACAAGAAAGTCTATGAGAGTCTTATCTCCAATACACCAACACAAAACTAGAAGTGATGCTGTGGCTCAAAGTGGTAGAGCACTAGTCTTGAGCAAAAGAGCTCAGGGACAGTGTCCAGGCCTCAAGTTCAAGTCCCACAACCAACAACAACAATTTAAAAAAATATGATGCCTGGAATCTCTCTTCAATTTTAATTAGTATAGTGCCTTGGAACCAATTAAGCTTGTTAAATTAAAAAAAATATATTTTGTTTTGTTTAAGGCTGGCTTGAGTCTTCGTAAAGTAAACCGGCACGTAGATTTTCCACTTATGCTGGATTTAGCACCATTCTGTTCATCTGCTTGTAAGGTACAGTATGTTAGGATAGGTAATTAAGCTGCAAACAAATGCTTAAATCTTTATGTTGTTTATTAGGTCATGCTTCTGTGATTAAAGAAAATGTTGTTTGTAAAATAAATTTCTCTTCTAAAAGAGAATTTGAGTAAGTAAAGTCAGAAACCTGTGTCACACTTACTGCACCCAATAGGACTTTTGTCCTTTGGGAGAAAAATGAGTAAGACACTAGGCATGATGACTATGAAGATACAAGCTGCTTGTAAATGCTGTTAGAAGATGAAGGTTGCTGTAAGAAGTGAGCAGGTTTGGTGCCTTACCTTGTTCTTGTGTTTAATCTGCATAATGAGCAGTTTTAGCATAGGTATGGATTTTTGGCAAGTCAACACAATGCATTTTTATGCCATTTCATGTATAATACTGAGAGTGGTATACGTGTCTACTGAGTATGATACTTCACAATTCTTAATATCTTACTAATAGAAAATAGAAAGCAGACTGCTTTATAATTGCTTATACTTACTTGTACATAAGAATTGTATAGATGGAACTGATGGCTTTTCTTGATGAAACCAAGCAGTTTTAGGGTAATAAGGTGTCCTGTTCATGCTTAGTAGCTAAAATCCGTATCTTGTGGTATGCTATAGGATTTTGTCTTGCTTGTTTGGGGTTTTGCTGTTACTATTTTGTGTGTATGGTACTAAGGTTTGAACTAAAGGCCCTTGTACTTTCTAGAAACCTCTAATGCTTGAACCTTACCTCCAGCCCTTTTTACTTTTTTCAGATAGAGTCCAGTGTTTTTTTGTCTAGGTTAACCTCACCAGGCACTGAGCCTACCTATGCCTACCACATAGTAGGGTTACAGGCTGCAGCTTTGTGTCACTTACTATCTTGGGTTTGTTTTGGTTTTTTTTTGGACATAGGGTCTTGTTAACATTTTGCCCTAGGCTGGCCTATAACTGCAATCCTCCCGATCTCTGCCTCCCAAGTAGCTGAGATTGCAGGTATGAGTCACCAGCCCAATAGAATGCTTCTTGAAGTGAACATACCTTCAGTGTGGTTTCCAGTTTATCTAATTTATTTGCTATAGAATACCAGTACTGTCAATCATTAACATTCATTATTCCTAAAATTTGATAATGTAAATAATAATGAAGCTTACTAAGTTCAATGTTAACTTTATGAGATCATTACATTTGTTAAAAACGAAATTTCTAACATATACAAAATAGAAAGAACATGAACCTCCAGTCCTAAAACTTGAGAGCTATGGCCAGTCTTTCCCCATTCATTTTTTTTTTTTTGGGGGGGTCTGGTCGTGGGGCCTGAACTCTGGGCCTGGGCGCTATCCCTCAGCTCTTCAGCTCAAGGCTAGCACTCTACCACTTGAGCCACAGTGCCACTTCCGGCTTTTTTCTTTTTGCTTATGTGGTGCTGAGGAATCGAACTCAGGGTCTCAGGCATGCAAGGCAAGCGCTTTAACCACTGAGCCACCTTCTCAGCCCCGAGTCTTTCCCCATTCACATATTCCTCTCCTCCATACTATAGTATTATTTTAAGGCAAATATTGGCACAATTTCACCCATAAACATTGCATCATGTAGCTATAGAATACAAAAATTACCTTTACTGTTTCTTTGTTAGTTTGTGACAATGTCTCACTCCGTGGTTTAGGAATGGCTTAAATTTATATTCCTCCTGCTTTAGCTTCTTGAGTTCTGGGACAAGCATAAAACCTTATTCTCAAATAGCTAAAACTAAAAGTACTGGAAGCATGCCTCAGTTGATAGAATGCCTATCTCTAGTCAGCAGGAGACACTTAGTTCAACCTCCATTACAGCCGAATTAAAAAAACAAAACCAAACAAAAAACAGAATGGTGACATTATAATATTGGCACTTCTTTATTTATTAGCTAGAATATTTTTATATAAAGAGAAATTTCCTTGTTTGGTTACTTAATATATAATTCTTATACATAATGCAGAATAACAAGTTGACTCCAAATTAGTTTTCAAACTAATTATCTGGTACTGATGGCTCATGCCTATAATCCTAGCTATTCAGGAAGATGAGCCCTGGAAAGATCACAGACTCCATCTTCAATTAACCAGTGAAATGTCAATGTGGCTAAAGTGGTAGAATGCACAAAAGCTAGCTGAGCAAGTACCTGAGGCCCTGAGTTCTAGCTCTGATACTGGCACGCACATGCAAACACCATAATAGTAGTAAGTTACCAGTAGTATCCTCTATTTATCATTATTTATGGATTTATCATTATTTTATAATTTATCATTATTATTAGTGGATTTAAATATACTAACTACATTTTTAAGTTTGCTACATTAGTCTTTTTGTTCATTCTCTAATATACTAGTTTAATGTGTTAATAGTTGATCACTGAAAGACACATGACCCTGCTAGTCCCTCTAATAAGAGTTATGCCATCATTGAATGTTTCATTTGTGTAATTTTTCATTTTTATCATTTAAAAATTTTCCTTTATAGAGGTTGCTTTTTTAATAACTGTGAAAGTATAGTTATTATATCAAATATACTAAAAAAGATAAGAAGTCTGATTTTTATCTGTGTCTATGCTATTTATTTCCTTCCTTTTATAAATAACCATTTAAAAATATGGCTTATTCATGCTTGTTTTCAAAGTATAAGCAGATGTGTATGTATATATGTATATGTGTGTATGTATATTTGTTTCATCCCCCTTGAATAGCTTAAATAATGATTACTTACTCTGTGAATTCAGTTTTTTTTAATATTCTATCTTTTCCTGAACATTATATCCTAGAGATTATTTAGGGATAGTGTACATTATATTTTTCTTGTCCTGTCTGACCTCATCCTGCCCCACCCTGCTCTATCCCTTCTTTTCTTTTTTTGTGAAGTTCAGGATTGAACTCATGCTAACCACTGAGCTACCTCAGCCCCCTATTTCATTTACAGACACCATACATAATATATTGTGTCCATGTGTTATAGTTTATTTAACCAGTTCTTAATTTATGGGCATTTGAGTTTATTCCAGTCATATGATGTTAAAAATAATCCTGCAACTAATAGTTTAGTTTTTTTACATTTGCTCATGTAGTTGTGGGATAAAATCCTAGAATTGGGATTGACAAATACAAGGATGAGAGAGAGAAAGAAAGAGAGAGAGAGAGATAAAAGGTCACTAGAGAACATGAAATACCACTGCATAAGAGGATACCCCTTTGAATTCCCACATGCAGTCTCTGCAATCACTCCTTTTATAGTACTGATCAGCCACAGAGGAACTTCTCCAGCTTTTGCATTTTCCCAGCTTAGTAGTATGGGGAAGTAATTCAGTCATTACATTTTGTTTTTTGTGTGTCAGTACTAGGCTTAAACTCAGGGTCTAGAGCTCGAACTTAGCCTTTGCTCTCAAGGATGGCACTCTACCACTTGAGACACACCTTCACTTCTGTCTTCTTGCTGGTTAGTTGAAGATAAGATATTAAGATTTGTCTGCCTGGGTTGGTTTTGAACTTTATGTCTTAGATCTCAACCTCATGAGTAATTAGGTTTACAGGTATGAGCCACTAGTACCTGGCTAATAATTCATTCATCTTCTTTAAGCAGTATGTGCATAACTTTTTGTCACAGCATTTCACTAGCTGTTACTAAAACTGATTTTTCTCTCTGTTTCAAAGAATGTAAATATGGGAGACAAGGTTCTTTATGGTCTGTATGGCATAGTGGAACACAGTGGCTCTATGAGAGGAGGTCATTACACTGCTTATGTGAAAGTGAGAGTTCCCTGCAGGAAATTACCAGAACAGACCACTGGGAGGAAAAATGTGCCCGGTATGCCATCCTAAGTGTATTTTATTCTTAACAAAATATGTAAATCTGGTTGTTCTTTTGGAAGATGAGATATTATTTATTTATTTATTTATTTATTTTTTGGGTCCAGTCGTGGGGCCTGAACTCTGGGCCTGGGTGCTGTCCCTCAGCTCTTCAGCTCAAGGCTAGCGCTCTACCACTTGAGCCACAGCGCCACTTCCGGCTTTTTTCTTTTTGTTTATATGGTGCTGAGGAATCGAACCCAGGGCCTCAGGCATGCAAGGCAGGCGCTCTACCACTGAGCCACCTTCCCAGCCCAGAGATATTAAAAAGTATCTCACTTCGTTAATGTTAAGTAAGAGTTCGCTTTAAGTACTTCTTAATCTTAATTTTCGTAAGACTGAATTCTTCTAATAAGTAGGGTGTGAGGTGACACAGCATTTCAGAGTAATGAAATGAACACAAAAAATAATACACAATTTTTTGAAGACATACCAGGTCTTCAAAATAGACAGGAGTTAAGAGTTAGAAATTTGCTTGCTGTGCTTAGGGATGATCAAATTAACTTCATTATTTTTCCCCTTTAATTTTTTTTCTGAACAATTAAGTATTTACAAGGCTAATATTTCACTAGTTAAAAATGTTAGTAACTGGAAATAATTACTAATTATTCCCATAATATTTGTAAAAAAGATTAACCCAAGAAAATGATTGACCAAAGAAAGAACAGTAAGACCTAGCAAGTACTGTGTAATGAATATGTTGGTGTTTGCATTTAGGGAATATAAGGAATACTTGTTGTAAAATTGTACTCTTTTGTGTCCTTAGGTTTGAAAGAACTTGCCAGTGAGGCAGGAGGCCACTGGGTCTACGTCAGTGACACTTACGTGCAGGTGGTTCCAGAATCAAGAGCACTGAGTGCACAAGCTTATCTTCTTTTTTATGAAAGAATTTTATAGTTATTTATTACTTGCTAACGGCAATGATTATTTAGCTCACTTTTATTTGAATGCTGCAACGGGAACTATAATATGTAATGTGCCTTGGTATTCTCTCTTCTGTAGGATCAGCATGACCTTCAAAGGCTCCTTAGCATTTTCACCATTTTTGTGAATCCTTTTAATGTAAATTAAATTTACTCAGTGCTTTCAAGTTTATATTTCTGAATGTAAAAACAAGATTTATTTCATGTTATGAGGGACAAAAATATCAAAACTGACAATAGTAAGAGAATTTTCTTTATGATATGGCTCATTATTACAAGCATTCAGAAAGGATGCTGGCTTAATGAAATTATTCCTTAATGATACTCTTTTCTCATTAAGATACTGCTTTTCTGATCTCCTGTAGTATATCCTATGCCATTATTTACTTTTAATGTTTTAGTCTTTTTAGCCTTAACCTTATTCTGAGCAGTTGTAATTAACATTTTATGTATTTGTTATTTTTGTAATAAACATCAAATTTATAACCATAGAAGAAATTATTTATCCATGAACCACTCCACTTAAAAAATCATCTCAGGGCTAATAGTGGTATATGTGTAATATTGTTTGGGACACATTACTGTAACTATATGGAATAATGCCTAATGTTATGCACTTACCTTCTCATATTTTATATGACGCAGCCATATAAAAGGTATCACTATAATTTTGATAGTGTGAATTTTTCAAGTAATAAATTGATTCCCTCGTGCTTCGACGTTTTAAGATTATTCAAACATTTCATAAATAAACCATTTGCAGCCTATTCATGGTAGAGTTAAATATAATCTGCAAGTGGTTGGCCAAAGGCAAAATGTAATTATAGATAATTTATACATGAAAATTGGTAAATAGAAGTTGATAATCCAGTTGGGACCATGGGAACCTCTGAAGTCTCGTTACCAAATTATATTTGTAAATAAATGATAGTTATATTCTTATACAAGGAAATATAATACAATTTCTACTTCTGTCTTTCAATAAATGTAGTTTCAGGATGTAGAGATCACTTTTGTCTTCAGTAATTTAAAAGGTTATGTGGACTTAATTGGGCACAGAGCTGGCATTTTGGTTTTCATTAAAAAAAATTATTGTTATAAAGGATGATGTACAGAGGGGTTCCAATTACATAAGTCAGAAAATGAGTACATTTCTTTTTGGACAATGTCACCCTTTCCCTCACTCTTTGGCACTTTGGTTTTCTAAGTAATTAAATAGTGGCAAAACATTTATTTATTTATTTATTGTGCCTGTCTTGGGACTTGAACTGAGCCTAGGTGCTGTCCCTGAGCTGCTTTTGTTCAAGGCTAGCTCTCTATTACTTGAGCCATAGCCCACTTCTAGCCTTTATTTAGGTTTTTAAAGCAGCTTATTGGAGTTGAGTGTCTCAGGGACTTTTCTGCCCAGACTGGCTTTGAACAGTGATCTCAGATCTCAGCCTCCTGTTCCTAGGATTACAAGTATGAGCCACTGGTGCCCCTAGAATATAACAAAGTCGTCAAGACTTAGCATGAGAAATATTACTATTATTACTATTCAATTTTAAAAAAGAATATCTACTTCACTGTCATAGTATTAAATCAAAACATTACTATGTGGTCCAAGTTTCCTCTCATTAATGCCAGTGATTGATGACAGGAAGCATTAGATGAGTGTGCAGAAAGTGAGGACAGGACAAGAATAGTGACTATAAGATAATATGGGGAAAATATTGAAGATTGATGGTTTTTAACATCCAAGTGTATATCCATTATCAAGGTTAACAGTGCTACCTTTTGATATATGGATGAGTAGAATTGTGATTGGTGTTAAGATGGAACTAGCCTACAAAATGCAGAGTTTTAAAATGTCATTGCACAAATTCTATTTTTAGAATTGTTGAAATTGCTGTTGAGATTTAAGTAGTAGTGTTTTCTTGATTTTTAACAGTGAAAATGAAGAAATACATCTTTGTTATCTGCTTTGGTTAGTAAGGGGAAATTTTAATCTGTAAACAATGAAGGTTTCAGTGTCAGAGCAATTAATCTGTGTGTGTGTTTGTGTGTGTGTGTGTGTGTGTGTGTGTGTGTGTGTGCGTGTGCAACAACCAGTCCTGGGGCTTGAACTCAGGGCCTGCGTGCTGTCCCTGAGCTTGTAAGCTCAAGGTTAGTGCTGTACCACAGCCCAACTTCTGGCTTTTTTGTTAACTGGAGATGAGAGTCTCATGGGCTTTCCTGCCAGGGCTAGCTTCAAACCTCAGTCCTCAGATCTTAGCCTCCCAAGTAGCTGGGATTCCAGGCAGTGATTAATTTTTTGAAAAAAATTAAATTTCCTCAGTCAGCTCAGCCTACTTGGAAGTAGCAGCTGTCAGCTCTCCCTCAAGCAATTTATTGTTCTAGAAATCTCATATCTTTTAAAGAAGTACACACTTCTCAAGGAAAAAGAACCTGTTTTTTTTTTTAAAATACATGTCTAGATAGATACCTATATTCACCAGGCATTATGTACTATGGTGACATCATTTTATCATCTTTAAAAATGGAAAGACCTGGGGCTGGGAATGTGGCTTAGTGTAACAGTGCTTGCCTAGCAATGCATGAAGCTCTGGGTTCAATTTCTCAGTACCACATAAAAAGAAAAAGCTGGAAATGGAGCTGTGGCTCAGGTGGTATAGTACTAACTTTGAGCAAAAAGAAGCCCAGGGCCAGTGCTTAGGCCCGTTCAAGCCACAGGGCTGGCAAAAAAAAAAAAAAGATGGAAATACCTGTATGATCTATATAGTTTAGATATTATTTTACCAGAAGTGTGCAAATAAGATATTTTTTATTTTCAATTCCTTAGTGTTATATGAGCTGATTTTGAAATCTAGTTTTTATGGCCTAAAGTGTATAAACACTTTTTTCTTGGTCTCTGAAAAATCGTAAAACAACTGATTTTTAATACCCAGGGATTTTCTAAATAGTACATGAAGCATACTGAATTGCACATGAGTTTGCATTTATTTTTTTTGTTTTGATTTTGAAATTTTCCAAAGTACATTTGCAGGGATTTCTTAAATTGTGAGGCTACAGTAATAACAGTAGTTCAGGAAACTGTACAGGTAAATGAGAATGTTTACAGACCATCAGTGCAACTACATGATGTTTAACTGAATGAATTTAATAAGTCAAACCCAGAAGTTTCACTAGTTCTGTTTAGAAACTGGTTTACAGGGTATGTATAGCCCTTCTTAGTCCCTTAGCTTTTCCATGTATAAAATGATAATGTTTTGATTATGTGCCAATTATACAAATATTTGACATAACCACATATATACATACACTTAAAATTTTGTCATACAATGCTTTAAAAATTATATGAAGACCACCTTTTTAGGTAGCCTAAAAGAGTGGTCATTGATATCAATTCAGAGTTGATTCAGAGCTAGTTTACTATATATAGTAGCTCTTAACTTTGCATGTGTGATGACTTTAGTCAGTGGTTTTATGACGTAGTTGAATAAAATAGCTGTAAAATATATTACCCTCATATTTTTTGCAGTACAGACGGACATCCTGCGTACTTCTCTTGGCTTGATATTTATATTTTTCTGCATGACACCTGATCATATAAGCATAAATGAAATATGTGCAATAAAATTGAGCCGTTAGATAATGGAATCTTGTCCATTATTAAGAAAGACTTTCTATATTTAAAATGTTCTTGTTCATATAGAAATAAGTTCAAATCTCCTTAAAAGATATGAATATATTTTCAATTTTGAGTGTCATTCTACTGTTGTCTTTTTTGCAGTGTTTTTAGATAATAGCTATGTAACTTATTGAGTTATTTTGGTGTTATAAGCATCATAATAAATATTAAATTCTTATTTTCCTTGTAAGATTGAGAGTTTTTTCATACATGTTATAGACAATGTTTTAATATTATATTTGCATTTTTTAGTCCCCTTTGCAACAGTATCATGCAGTATCAACAGACTTTATTTCCTGCAGTTCTAGAGGATGGAAAGTTCAAGATTAAGGCACCAACAGAGTCAGTGTCTGGTGAGGGCCAGCACAGTCCTCATTGTTTCTTCGCGTGGTTAAAGGGACAAGGGAGTTTTATGAAGGCATAAACCTTGTTATGAGGCTCTTCTCTCATTACCTACTTTCCCTAAGACTCTGCTTCCACATGCCCTGGCAGGAGGTGTTAACTTCACTCTGTAACATCTTAGTTGTATTCTAAATATTCTCCATTTTTTAGAAATGCATATCTGAAAATAAAATATATGCACATATGAAGTACCATAGGGAAACTTCTTGGTACAATAAATCACATGCATTAAAGAAGTTGTAAGAAATTTAAACAGGCTGTGATGGAGGTGGGCACCAGCAGGACGGGAGGACAAAGAAAGGAATATGGTTGATGTAATTTATTTGCATGTATGAGAATGAAACCTATTGGCATTGGTGTGTGTGTGTGTGTGTGTGTGTGTGTGTGTGTGTGCTGGTTCTGGGGCTTGACTCAGGGTCTGGGCAACATCCTTGAGCTTCTTTTGCTCAAGGCTTGCGCTTTGCTTTACCATTTAAGGCACAGCTCTACTTCGGGCTTTTTTTGGTGATGATTAGGAAATAAGAGTCTCAAGAACTTTACTGGGCTGGCTTCAAACTTTGATCCTCTTCCTGAATAAGATTACAGGCATAAGCCACCAGGATCAAGATATTGTGATTGTTTTCAGATGAGTGGGGAAGGAAAGAGTGTTAGAGGGAGTTAGATTGGTCTTGATACATTGTATTCATGTATTCATTCACAAGGGATGAAACTCCCCTTGAAAACTAATAAAGTTATTCTAATAAAAATGATTAAAAGTCTGGGATAGTGGCTGGGTGGTAGAGTGCTTGCCTTGCATGCATGAGGCCGTGGGTTTGATTCCTCAGCACCACATAAGCAGAAAAAGCTGGAAGTGGAACTATGGTTCAAGTGGTAGAGCGCTAACCTTGAGCTGAAGAGCTGAGGGACAGCGCCCAGGCCCAGAGTTCAGGCCCCATCACTGCCCGCCCCCCCTCAAAAAAAAAATAATCCTAGCAACTCAGAAGGCTTAAGATCTGAGGACTTATAGTTCAAAGCCAGTCCAGGCAGGGAAGGCCATGAGACTCATTTCCAATAAACTACCCAAAAAACTGTAAGTTGAGCTGTGGCTCAAGTGATAAGAGTGCTACCCTTAAGCAAAGAAACTCAGGAACAGTGCCCAAGCACTAAGTTTAAGCCCCACACTCAAATTTAACCCAGATCCTCAGGTTTCATCCTTTCGGACATTTTCAAAATTCTTGAGTTATTTAGACAAAGTCATTTATTAGGAAGTATTTTACCTGCATTAACTCTTTTGGGTCATGATACTCTTTGAGGGTATGCTGAAAGTTATTTAAATATATTTTTATTATGCAATCATTGAATAAGTTTATAACTGTTAATGGGGTTGGCAGTAGGGCTACAGAAGTGAAAGCTAGAAATGAGGAAATAGTCTAAAATGAGTAAGGGGAAAGGATGGCAAATGCTAACAGTATGGAGAAAGCAAACAATATTGCTTGCAGAGCTGTATAAGAATTAAGGTCAAGCAGGTAAAAGGGATAATTGTTCTGAGAATTGAACGTTGGAGGAAAAGTGGGTTCTAATTCTGGCGCCCAAAATTTTGTATATAATTGCAAAGTTCATGAATCTCCTTAAACCAGTTTCATATATTTAAAAAAATCATACCCAAGAAGAAATATCAAATTGGTACACTGAAGAAATTGCATCCAAACAGAAAGTTGATATTATAAGATGGGTTAACAGCCCCAAATAGTAATCCTAGTAGCTTAATAGATTATTTTTGCAGGATGACTTCATGTAGGAATACATGAAAATTTCATTAGAGTAGAGCTCTACCACTTGAGCCATAACTGGTGTTTCTTTCTCTCTCTCTTTCCCTCTCACCCTCTCTCCTTTCCCCCTCCCCCCTTTCTCTCTCTCTCTCTGAACTAAGAATTTCCTGCCCTGGCTGGCCTTGAACCACTTCTCAGATCTTAGCCTGGTCAGTATCTAGGGTTCTGAACCAGTGCCACTTGGCTGTAAAATGATTTTTTTTTTTTAGATCACATAGAACATTGCACAGATTTCATTATGCTAAGTGGGAAGGGGCCAGAAATGTTTTCCTTTTTTTTTTTTTTTTTGTCAGCTGTAGGACTTGATCTCAGGGCTTGAGCGCTGTCCCTGAGCTTCTTTGTGCTCAAGGCTAGCACTCATCACTTGAGCCACAGGGCCCACTTGCATTTTTTGAGTGGTTAATTGGAGAGGAGTCTCACCGATTTTTCTGCTTGAGCTGGCTTGGAACTGCAGCCCTCAAATCTCAGCTTCCTGAGTAGCTAGGATTACAGATATGAGCTACTGACCTCAGCCACTGACCCCTACTGACTCCAGTAGGATCCACATGGTATAATTAGTAAACATCTCTCTCAAGGTAAAATTGCATTTTAAAAGTTACTTAAATTTGACGACCAGCATATCTTTAGCTAGAGAGCATTTTAATCATAATCCAGGAATGCAAGCTTGTGTTTAATGAAGACCTGAATTTTATGCAAAGAGCATCCATCATGTCAAGCCTATAGTTATCCTTTTCCAGCTTTTATTTTAATTCGCTGTTTAGGGGCCATGCTCCTGAGCTGGAGCCACAGCTCCACTTCTGGCTGTGTGTGTGTGTGTGTGTGTGTGTGTGTAGATAAGTATCATATGCACATGCTTAACTGGAGATAAGAGTATCACAGACAGACTTTCCTGCCCAAGCTGGCTAGGAACCACTATTCTCAGATACCGGCTTCCTCAATAGCCTTGGATTACAGGCTTGAGCCACCACGCCTGGCCAATTACTTAGTGCACTCTTTCTTCAATCACAGAAGTTCACTTCTTGGAAGACACTTCCAGGTTTAACTAAAATACAATACTAATATTGTATTGGTTATATTTTTCTATTAAATGCAATACGCAACGGAAACACTTGTACTTTGAGAACTTTTGCTTGTAACTCGAGGCTGCAAGTCCGGACATCGGTTCTTCTGATACCCGAGCCCTGAATGCTGTCTTTCCCGGGAATTGCACCGCGCACGTCATCTAGAGGACGAGGACAGAAACTCTTCTCTCCTCGCCCCTAACTCCACAGGAACCACGGATTGCCATCAGGATTTACGGTGGCGGGCCGGTCCCCCGGAGGGGGCGCGAGGTTTTGAGGTTCCCGAGGGTCGCGTCAGGTCTCGGGATGCTGGGCTCACCCTGGGCCCCCCGCCCCCAGCCAGCTCTGCGGGGGGCGGGCGCGGGGCGGGACCCCAGGTCGGAGCACTGCGGGGTTCGAGCCCCTCGGTCCGCATCCAGCCGAGTTCGCAGGGTTTGACCTGCGGGCGCGGAGACGCCGGCGCCGGCGGCCTCCGGGCGAAGCTCCCGGGCCCTCTTCGGGGCCTCTTCGGGGGCGTTCGGCCCGATGCGCGGATAAGAGCTTGTGAGCCGCCGGTTCAGCAAGAGCACTTCACGGGGGCCGGGCGTGGAGACCCGCAGCGCCAGGCCGGCGCCTCACACCCCGCAAGCGAAACCGCGACCGAGCCGGGCAAACGCTCCGGTAGGTCGGGGATGCAGACTCCGGGGAGAAGATGGCCATCAGAGGCCGGTCCCGGACAACACCCCGCAGGCGACCCCATCTGACACGCAACTAACGCAAAAGGAGGCGCGGCTCCCGTGATGTGAGCCCTGAGTTCAACCACAACAACACAATTTTAACGACCATAATAACCTGTACTTGACAAGACCATCCACTGGCAAAAGCGGCGGTGGGGATTGCCCGGAACAAACATGGCGCGGAGGCGCGTCAAGCCGCAGTCACGTGCGCAGAAGCCCGGAGGAGAGCTGGTATGGCTTCAGAGACCGGGCGGATGTTATTACCATTCACTTCCGGGTGAGACCCATCCGGCGCCATCTTGTCTTGTTCGTGAAGAAGTGGAAGCATCGAAAGGGTTGGGAAGGTACCCCAGGAACGGTGGCGACGGTGGTGTTCCGGAACGAGAGTGGGTAAGTGATGAAGACAACACTGAGGCGTGGGGGCCCGCCGCACTATTACGGCCCTCTCGGTTCCGGAGGGATGGCAGCGGGGCTTAACCGGGATGCGTACACTGCCTGGCGCGACCGCTGGACTTCTTCTCACGCAGCGGCGTCTGCCTGCCTTGGTTGAGCAGATCGCGGCCCTCGGTGAAAGGAAATGTCCGTACAAGAGAGAATTCACGGCCCCTCCCCATGAAAGGAGTCCTAGGAGGAGATGGGCTAATTGTTGGGCTCCGGGCCGGCCGTTAAGTACTGCGCGTGCGCAGTGGGAGGTCTAGTGGGGAGGGGGCGCCGCAGGCCGGAGGGGGCGGGGGCCGGGACCGGGGCCCGGAGCTCTCACCCCCTGGGTCTCCGACTGCGCAGGCGCGGCCAGGGGTGCCTGCGTTCTGTTTGAATGAATGAGGTTCCCTATTTGTTTTTCTTGTATTCTTACACCGTGATGGCTATTACGTGTCAGCCGTCACGGAGGAAATAAAGTCGCCTGTGAAATGTTCACTTGCTTTGCCCTGTGGTGGATAAGTTGTGTTGTGTTACCTAAACCCACTGAGCACTAACCAGACCGATTTTGATGATGGTTGGGGACGTACACTTTTAAATTTATCTTCTCGGATCCCCAATCCCTCGGAAATCCTTTTTTTTTTTTTTTCTCCTTGGCTCCACATTCAACTAAACGAGCTTGGAATTTCTCACTTCACTGCCACAAGGCAAAAACCACCACGGACGCTCAGGATTTTTTTTTTTTAATTTTTAAACTTTTTTTACTTTTTACTGTGAAATTCTTTTGTGAAGCGTCCAGAGCATGCTACAGGGAGACTAATAGTAAATAAATTCTTTTAAGATGTTCTTGAGAAGTTGATGCTTTTTAGATTACCAATAGCCTGTGTGTGTGTGTGTAATTTTTTTTTTGGGGGGGGGTCCAGTCGTGGGGCCTGAACTCTGGGCCTGGGCACTGTCCCTCAGCTCTTCAGCTCAAGGCTAGCGCTCTTCCACTTGAGCCCCAGCGCCACTTCCGGCATTTTTTTATTTGCTTATGTGGTGCTGAGGAATCGAACCCAGGGCCTCATGCATGCAAGGCAAGTGCTCTACCACTGAGCCATCTTCCAGCCCACCTTTATATTTTAGAACCGTTTTTTTTCTAGCTTACAGAAAAATTGAGCATACACAGGAACAAATCACACCACTTAGGTTTTTTTTTTTTCCTCCCCAATGACTGTATTAGTATGGGACGTTGATTACATTAACGGATCAGTATTGATAAATTATTGCTGATAATTCTTATTTAATTTTTCAAAAAGTTCTTTTTCTCTGTGAGGATGCTGTCTAGGATAACACATGACATTTAGTCGTCATATGCTTTAGGCTCCTTTTGCCAAGACAGTTTCGTAGGCTTTCTTGTTTTTGTGTCCTGAATAGGCCCTCCTTCCCTTCTCTCAAGTTCTAACCTCTACCTCAGAAATCTGAGTATATTTTGAGGAAGGGTCTTTACAGAGGTAGAATGAAATTATTTTGGTGGACTAATTCAGCATGAATGTTGTCCTTACAAGAAAAGAGAATGAAACCCACCTGTTTGTGAATCTCCAGCCTCAGACCTATGAGGAAATAAATTTCTGTTGTTTGGCCAGTTAGTCTGTGGTGTGTTACTATGGCAGCCCTTGCTAACTTAAAGTGACTTGGCCTTTTTGGAGAATGTCTGTCAGGATCCTCTTCTGTTGGAATTTGTCAGATAGTTTCCTCCTGATTGAAATAGTGTTATGGATTTGAGGGAGAACAATCAGAGGTAAGGTTCTCTTCTCATCTCATCTCATTGTCAAAATGTATGCATTCAATATGACTTCACTTGCTGATAATGACTAATGGCTCCTCAGAGTGTTTGTCAAGTTTCTCTGCTAAGAAACATATCCATTCTCCCTTTCATTCTATTTTCTTTGGAAAGCAATTGCTTTTTATCTCAGAAAGAATGGGGAATTAAGCTCTCCCTTTGGTATTTTTATAATTTATTTAGAAATCTTCATGAGAGATGTATCCCTCAAATTTGTTAATTTACTTTATTATTTATATCAGTATGAACTTAGGAATATTTGTTTCATAATTTGTGTTATAATCCAGTACGACTTTTTTTTTTGCCAGTCATGATGCCTGAACTCTGGGCCTGGGCACTGTCTCTCAGCTCTTCAGCTCAAGGCTAGTGCTCTACCACTTGAGCCACAGCACCACTTCCAGCTTTTTCTGCTTATGTGGTGCTGAGGAATCGAACCCAGGGCCTCATGTATGCAAGGCAAGCACTGTACCACTGAGCCACCTTCCCAGCCCCTCCAGTATGACATTTTGTTACTCAGATTGTTCCAGTTTGAACCATTGACATAATTTCTTTCTACTGTTCCCCTTTTACATGTTCCTTTTTTTTTTTGGCCAGTGCTGGGGCTTGAACTCAGGGCCTGGGCACTGTCCCTGAGCTTCGTTTGCTCAAGGCAGGCATTCTATCACTTTAGCCACAGCACCACTTTTGGCTTTTTCTGTTTATGTGGTACTGAGGAATTGAACCCAGGGCTTTATTCATGCTAGGCAAGCACTCTACCACTAAGCCACATTCCCAGCCATTCCATTGTATTTTAAATCATGTTACATTCTTATTTTCTTATTTGCTAGCACTAAAAGATGGTTCATGCTTATATTTTAGTATTCTTCCTTCAGTACTAGAATCTGTTTCTTTGGAGAGCCCATATTCTATTTTAGAATGGTACTAGAACCTTCTAGGTGCCTAGGTGTGCTTGTTCTTACCAGGGTGTTGTAGGCCTTCTCTCTATTAATGTTTTTGATCATCAATATTTTCAGGGGTATTTATAACCAACTAGTCAGTTGGAGCTATAAGCTCAAAATATTTCAAATGAACATAAATGCACATGAAATCAAGCAGGTAGCCAAAAAAATCCACAGTATTCCAAATGATTACAAAATTAATCATTACAAAATTAATCATTATCTATCTTCCATTTGTTTGTCACTGAACAAATAAATTCTTTGTGACTTAGAAGTTAGTCATAACGTATTGTGGCAGGGATAAAAATAATTATTTTTTAACTTAGCAGAGTTGTGTTTGATAGGAACTGTTTTACCATATGCTCAAAGAATATGTGTTTTTGTGTGGCTCTTTTTGGGGAGGGTGAGGAGTGTTTGACAATACCAGTGCTTGAACTCAGGGCCTTGAATACTCTCTTGGCTTTTTTGCTCATGGCTAGTGACCTGCCACTTGAGCCCAGCCTCCAGTCCAGCTTGTTTGTTGGTTAGTTGGGAATACAGTTTCTCAGACTTAGTAACCAAGGTGGCTTGGAACCACAATCCTTCAGGTCTCACTTGGTGTCCTGAGTAGTTAGATAAAATTGTAAGCCACTGGCATCCACCTATGTTTCTATATCTTTGATTTTGTATTTGATACTTATTACTATTATTAATTTTTGGTGGTGCTAGGGCTTGAATGCATGAATAGACCGGTGTTCTATCACTTGACCCCATGAGCTCATACTCTTGTCTCTTGTTTGTTTTTGAGACAAGGTTTCACTATACAGTGTAGACTGACCTTGAACTTACTAGGTAGCTCAGGCTGATCTCAAACACACCGCCCTCCAGCCTTGTCTCCCAAGTGCTAGGATTACAGATGTGTTCCACCATGTTCACCATAGTAGCAGTATTAAAATGCCATTTGCATGATTAAATATTAATATATTGACTGGATAGCATATTTTAACAGATGATTAAAATATTTAACCACATGGACTATGTAGTACGGATAATTCAAATAACTTACTTTGCTCTTAAGATTCTTCTTTGAGTCAAAACAACCATAAGAACTCAAGACTACTGTGTCTTTAACTTAGGGGAAAAAATTTAACAATGCAGAAGTGTAATGAGCACTTACCTTTAGCAGTAACAGTATTTTCCAAATCATTATTAAACCAGTGCTTCATTATCATTTTTAATGGTATCAGGTTATAGTATTCATTAAACCATAGTAGGGCTGAAGGTGTAGCTTGGTGGTAGAGTGCTTGCCTAGCATGCTTGATATTCTGGACTGGATCTTTAGTACCTCAAGAAAAAAATTAAAAAGACACAATAAATTTAAAAATACAATTTTCCACCCTGTCAGTAGGTTCTACATCTTTGGAGTCAGTCACCTGAAGATCAGAAATACAGGGTTGCGGGGGGAAGTCCATCTACACTGAATAAATAGTGGTTTTTTTTTTTTTTGTCAGTTATGGGGTTTGAACTCAGGGCCTTGACACTGTCCCTGAGCTCTTTTCATTCAAGGCTAGCACTCTACCACTTTGAGTCATAGTGCCAATTCCAGTTTTTAAATGGTTAATTGGAGATAAGAGTCTGACAGGGCTGGCACCCATTGCTCACACATGTAATCCTAGCTACTCAGGAGTCTGAGATCTGAGGGGCACAGTTCAAAGCCAGCCTGGGCAGGAAAGTCCATAATTTTGTAGCTTTTTTTTTTCCAGGGCTGAGGACCGAACCCAGGGTCATGCGCGCGCCGGGTGGGCGCCCTTCTGCTGTGCTAAACCCCCAGCCCCCATGAGACTCTTACCCCTAGTGAACCACCAGAAAACTGGAAGTGGCACTGTGGCTCAAGTGGTAGAGCACCCACTCACCTTGTGCTTAAGAGCTCAGGGACAGCACCCTGGCCTAGAGTTCAAGCCCCATGACTGACAAAAAAAAAGTCTCACAGGAACTTTTCTGCCTGGGCTAGCTTCAAACTGCAATCCTCAGATCTCATCCTCCTGAATAGCTAGGATAACAGGTGTGACCCACTAGCGCCTGGCTTGAATATATGTCTTTAAACAATACCAACACCATCTGCTTATATATAAATTACATTGTATTCAGTATTTTGAGTAACCTAGAGATAATTTAAAGTATATGGGAAGAAGTGTGTATGTTATTTGCAAACACTGTTCCACTTTATGTATAAG